AAGCAACTGTTGACAACACCCTTCTTTTAAAAATAAATAACGGACTCTACCCAAAAGAAAACAAGTTAAGAAAACTCATGTGAATTGTTCCTCATGTTCAAAACACAATATCTGATAGTAAATATAACGTTTCAGTCTTGATTTGAATGATTTAAATCTCATTTGTATTTGAATGAATTTGTGCAATCTGTATTTTCTAACGCAGCTCAATAGCTTCCATTGACATTCCATAAAGCAGCTATAAAAATGGCTTCTTTTTGGTAAAACGTGCATAACTTCTGATAGTATGGATCAATTTCAGTAATTTTTTTTTAGATGAGTGGAAGATGCATGCTCGTTTAAGATATACGTCATTGGTGTTTCAAGTTTGATTGCTTTCTTGTTGACTCACTCTGTATGAAGAAACTGTTATGATTTTTATTTGTGAAAGGCGAATGTATATAACTTTCTGTGAAAAGACAAATACATACCTCTGACATACCCCTCCCTCCCACATTCCCTCCCACTCAATCCCATCACATCATCTCGCACTATCCCCTGTCTCCACCCTTTTCCTCCCCGAGCAACAAGGGAGGGGCAAACCGGAAGAAACCTGCCGTTGCGATGAAACCTGCCACATATCTATCCATTTTCAAGGGCAGATCAACCCGAGCCGTGACCCTTAGGTGTTGATATACTTACTGTCATCACGGAGCTGTTGTCGAATGGCTTCAAACCCCTCATCTTTTCGCACTTCAAATGCATTTTTTTTTAATAGAAATATATTTATTTAGCGACACCCCTCCACAAATCCTATCACAACATCTCTATCGGGACATGGTCTCCCCCTTTCCAGAAAGGCTGGACAAGGGTTGTAAAGAGTTGGTATCAAAACAAGTATCGCATCTGAGGTAGACTTATAATCCTAAGGCCAAAAAAAAAAGTCTCCGGTTTCTGGTATGAAGCTTGCCCAAAAAGTGGTGCGGCGACGCGGCTTTTTTTTTTTTTTTTTTACCTGTTTTTTTGCTTCAAATGTATGCTGATGACTGCAAATGGTGCCCGACTAAACTTAGTGCAAATATATGGGAGTCCAGAGAGGCCATATAAAGCTTATTCTCGATCATAACCCCATCTAAAAATACGTTAAAATTGTGAAGCAGCAGGATTCCAGTCAAACCAGTGAGTTTGGCGGTTTTGAGACATCATCTTTTATTGAAAAAAAAACGTTTTCATTTTGCCGACGCGCATGGCTACGGCGACGCGCGCGCATACCAGAAACCGGAGACTTTTTTTTTTGGCCTAAACAAGCACATTTTTTTTCCAACTCATAGCCGGGGAGGTTTCGAACCCTTCCCTACTAATTCTCAGCCATTCCACAACAGATTGTCGTGAAACTTAGAATGGATATGCCTACAGAGACATCCATACTGTGTTAGGTTTTAGCTCAATCGGTCAAACTTCAAGTACGTAATACATGTATTGCAACTATCACACTATGGTCGTTAGTGAGCACTTTTTTCCTTTGCACGATCAATGAAAAACTCGGGGGGGGGGGGGTCACGGCTAGTGCTCACGCCTGCGTCGGAAAAAAAATATGACATTTCTTGACAAACGATTTAATAAACTTTGAATCTCAACGGACTCGCAAGAAAGCGCAGCATTCAAACCCGACCCTCTCGGCCAGGGGCGTCAATCGCTTCTCAAACGTTGGGATGGGGGGGGGGACATATACCTTGATCAGAATTGATGCGAAGCGCGAAGCCCTTACGGCGTGGGGTTCGGGGTCCGCTTAAGGGCCCCGAAGGGGAAAAAAACGATTCTAGATGCTCTGTGGTGCGATCTGAGTAAATTTTTGACCACTTTAACCAATATTTTCTTAGCAAAAGATACGTTGTAGCACATAATAGGGCCCTGTAAATGAGACACGAGTTCAAAAATCTGGGGGGGGGGGGGGCATTTGATATTGTGTCCCCCATCCTTCAAAAAGTGTGGGGGGGACATGTCCCCCTGTCCCCCCTCCCCCCCCCCCCCCCCCCCCCAAGGATTGACGCCCATGCTCTCGGCACGATGATAAAGCGTGATGGTAATTCGATATAGGGAAATTACACAGGGGGTCTTTGGTATAAGCACAATATACTACCATTATACATGAATATGATTATATAATGTAAAATGAGAAGGGAAGTTGGTGTACAAAATGAATACAGTAGTAGAGTACGCCTAATGGTGTTTCGGTGTTTCACTTTCAAAATCTCGGGTTATTTCTACGGCCTTAGCTTTTGGATCTAGTTTCATGAATTTAGTTTCCTGATACAGGCTCGGTATTGGGTCCGTTTTCTTTTACAAAAACAGGAAACGCAGGCATTGCAAAGCATTTGGATAAGTGCTAAGTCATTACCATAAGACAAAATACGTGCAATTCTTGCGCGTGGGTCGTCCATGGCCTAGGTTATAATGGACTAATGCAGGAAGAGAGGGCGCTTTGTGACTACTTTCGAGAGCCCCAGTGGGCGCCGCTCGCGAAGTACGCACGGTACGACTTCATCCAAATTGCCACACCACATCAGAAGAATCAATAAGTTTGTTAATTCTTAATTAGGTAATTTTCAAGGTGGAGAAAGAAATTGGCTGGAGCGCGAGCGGAGTTTGAACCTGCGACCCGATATCTGTGATTTGCACAAATCTGCAGCATCTTCGCGTCAGCTAGCGCAAGGCATGAGGCGGCAATGTTTCCCTTGGCCCACCCTCTCACAAGTCTGGCGCTCTTGGGGGCATCTGCATCTGCATCTGTTAGCTTCTGTATACAAACGCCTGGTGTGGCTTGCCTATCGCGTACAGTTAGCGCAATGCAAGTCGGTGCAAACTAGTTGTTGGCATGAGCCAGTATTCTTTTCCGGGGGGGGGGCAAAGCACATTATTATTTTCCAAAAATCCATGTACTTTCTCTTGCATATTGTCAATTGATCATTTGCCTACCCCACCCCCATTGACCCCCCCCCCCCCTGCGGTTAATGTGCATTAAATTAACAGCAATATGACTTCCCACCTCGTCTTCTTTTTTCTCCTTCTTTTTTTTTTTTTGGGGGGGGGGTGTTTTTCCGGGGTTGGGGTGGGGGGCGGGGCATCCTGGCGATCGACGCCATGGTTGTTGGTACATTTATGTAGGTAAGCCAGCTCGATCTTTAGTAGGTGATCCTTGAAGTTTTGTAACGTTGGGGCACAACGGACCACTTAGGGTAGCAACGGGAAGTGTTTTGGTGTACATGTACAACGACTTCTGATAACAGTTATTATTTGCAGAGACGTGCTTATAGATGAATCTCCCAGTACACTGGCGCGCTTTTGCCTTAATTGGTTGTGGTCAGTGAGATTATAAGAGATGTTGCATGCTAGGGATGAGACCGTGGGTTTCTTTGTCGCTTGTTCAAAAATCTGTACGGAAACGCAATGCATTCTGGGTAGCTTACTATGGGCTAGGGCCGTTGGGGAGGGGGGGGAGCGAACGGCAATGTGTTTGACTCTCTCTCTTTTTAACCGTTGGGGTTATGGTATTTGCGCACGGAGTCTATACAAAATGTATCTATCGAGAGCACAAAGGAATAGAGGTCGCCAGTGGTCCAGCATCCTCGGATAAGGCAGTGAGGACAAGCTAAACGTAAATCAATGCAACCTGACCAAACACCATTGTTGAGAGACCGTGACGTGGTCGTTCCATGGCCGGCGGGGGACACCCTTTGCAGCTCAGGGAAATGCGCACTAACGACCACAAGGTGCTTGCTCTACCTTTCTCCCTCTCTCTGGGGCCGAGGTTGGGAACTGAGCTGATTGGGAACACGTGGAATCAGAAAACAGAGAACAGGGAATCGGTTGATTCTCAATTACCCAAAGGCCGTGTACTGGGTATCCTATACCCGAGATGCTGTAGATGCACACTAAGCCTGTGTTTACGGAGAGCGAGTGTGACGGCAAGATTGCCCAGGGAAAATGTCGAGCCCACGGCGGGTTCAACCTCAAAAAATGCGCCGCCCTGACATTTCGTCCCTCCCTTTCGCAGCTTTTCAGGGAATATTTTGTTCTTTATCTGTGCAGGACAAGCAAACATCTGGGATGATGCGAGCGTGCTGAAACGCAAGAGGGTCGTAACCTTTGCAAAAATAGGCTGATCGGGAGGGGGACTTTTAGGCGGATTTTAAGCTTAAGGGCACAGGCGTCTGTGTGGATATATCCTTTGGTGAGGAATTGTGCTCTAAGTATTGGTTATGAAAACTATCCATTGTCTATATTAAAGTGAACCAGAAATGGGTGTGTGGTCAAACAGCTGTTTCGACTGTTACACATCTTCGGGTGGACAGGTGGTCAATGTGTGCCAAGTCTGAAGTCGATCGGATTTACGAAAGTGCCAAAGTGTATGGGTAGAATTAAAACATGTACAAAACCTATGGAGAGGAGTCTGAAAAAAAGAACAAGGAAAAATAAATCTTAACGAAAACAAGAGCTGCTTCGGCTGACTTTCCGAAACAGCTAAAAATACGTCCGAAGGCATGCGTTCATCTTCAAACTGGGTGCCCAAAAGTTCTTGTTTTGAAGTAAATCCACCGCTTAATTAAGGGCCCCGAAAATGTTTTGGATTCTAGATGCTCTGTGGTGCGATCTGAGGCTATTTCTGACCTTTTTTAACCATTTTTTGGGGAGGAAAGATGGTGTAAGCAGTGCCTGCCTTATTTGCGACGCCACTAAAGAGAAAAATTGTGGTGGTTTTTTTTTTTTTGGGGGGGGGGGTTCCCACTCGAAGCCTGGCAACCTTTTGGGGGCATTTTGAAATGAAATCTAAAGATTATGAACAAAATATCGGCAACAAAGTTTTCAAAGTAAATTTTACCGTTTTGTGACGAAAGCGCAACTGTGCGAATTTGAAAATAGAATATTCCACTTCTCGATGGCCAACTTCAATATTAACACACTCGATAAATAATGAATAGTTAGATGTGAGGAGTACCCAAATAATTAAACAAAACTACAGATTGAGTTTTTTTCCGTCCTTCCATTTTTATTTCTGGCCAGGTCAGAACATGCATGAGACAATGCTGCTTGGGAACTGCAAAGCAAAATGTCAATAATAGTTGATACAGTTTCTACAATTTCTGAAATTCATGGCGCAAAGTTGAAATTTCGTGGCGAAACGTTGTAAGTTTGTGGCAGAATTACGAAGCCAGTGCTTAAAGTGTTAACTCTGTTGTTTCCCATGATAGGAATTTTTCATTCAAACCCCTGTTTAGATGCATATAATCGTTAACATTAGACAGAATCATTACAGTGGACATTTACACGACCACACGCAAAGTCTACCCCACAAATTTGAAACTTACTTCGGACATCTCACATTGAATAAAGCATTGTAACATTCCAACAACAAATCCTTGGAACCAAAAACTCCATGTGCTTGTAATAATCAATTAATAAATCCAATTATGGAAAAATACTTTACATGGGAGTAGTTTACAGACACTTCTGTACAAGGAAATTCTAGTTCAGTTTATAACTCTACAACTTTGTTTAACCTAATTCAATGTTTACTGGCTTTTCATACAAAATGTACACAATGTCATGTACCTGTGTCAAAACCCATCGGCTGCAATTATGCGTAAGAAATGATAAACCCTGGTACACTATTAAACAACTTGCATACGGTCATAAAACTCCCCGCACTCCATGGGTTTTCGCAATAAATTCAAAGACCACACAGGCTGAAAGATTCAATCGCAAATTATGTGGTTCTAGAAGATAAAAGTTTTAAAAAAGGGGACTGTAAAAGAACTAACTGAACATGCCACAGTGCCTGGTTCACAAAGGGAAATTCATGTGACCATAACTTTATAAATATAACAAGTTAAAGAAAAGAATTAAACTGAAATGTCTAAAAGAACAATACCCAGATACACACAAGACAAAATCAACATTTTATGGAGGGAATAAAACAATCAACAAAGTAGTTATCTGAGAAAAAGAAAAGAAAAAAAAAGAAAGTTACTAAAACTAAAACATCATAGCAATGTCCACCACCAAAGATTTCACTTTTCCCCAAAAAATCAAATTCTAAAACCAAAGAACCACTAGAACGATCATGCAGTGAGCAAATCAATAGAGGAACTAGTGGTTTGACTGATGTCTTAATTCTGGAAATGAAACTCGAATAAAGTTCATTTTTACATGTACCCCTTTGCTCATACTTATTCATCCTGATCCCACTTCTGCCACCGAACTCAAAAACCCAGTTAGAGTCATGTATCAAGCATGTGTACCAAAAAAAAAGGCTTGTTACTTCTCCAGAGACCTTTCTCGGTCCATTTGGGGTTTAAAAAAAAAAGCAAAATGTCCTGTAGTTCAGAAGAATTAATTGATGGTTGGTCTAGAAGAGTAGACTGCCCATGCCACCCATCTCGCTCTGTTCCTTGACGAAGATCTCAAAGTACTGGTAGATGATGGTGACGGCCAGGAGGATACCAGTACCTGAGCCAATGGCGCCCAGGAGATCGGCTGTGACTGACAGGGCACCGATGCACAGACCACCAAAGGCGGCTGCTGTCGGGATGTACCTACAACGAGCAAACAAGCAAGGTTGGTCAGCAGGAAATAATGGTGAATATCTAGTATCTGGGTCCGACTTCACGGCTCAGCTAACCATAACATGGTGGGCTTATGATCACCATTCTGTGCTTACAGTGCTGGCTGAGAACCCTGTGTGCAGAATTCGCTGATATTATTATTTTGTGGGGCGCTGTGGTCCGATGATTACGGTGTTCGACTCACGTGCCTTGGTACATGGGTTCGAACCCTGATGGGGAACAAGGTGCTTGTGTTCTTGGGCAAAACACTTAACTACTATTGCCTCTCTCGACCCAGGAGTATAATTGAGTACCTGTGAAGGTAGAGACCAGAATGCGCTGATCTCGAGCTGCTGCAGAAAGTGAGCTCATGGCCTGATGAACAGGGGTAATAATTGTGAAGCGCTTTGAGACCTTTGGTATAAAGCGCTATATAAGCACTTTATTATGAGGATGTACACATGGGCATGAGCCAAAATACCAGTTAGCAGAGATTCTTCTCATAACAGCAAGCACTAAGGACAGCCATGAAAAGGTTTCAGACAAAAGGTTTTAGGCAAATCTATATGTACATGGTTTAAAGTAATAGCGGTTTACATTGGTGAACAATCAGATCAAATTAATAGGGTCCAATCGAATGACGTCAAAGTACCACGTGACCATCCTGTTTCCCTGTGATTGGCCGCCATTGTAGAAGGCAAGCATTTGATTAGCGACCATGTCGTGCAATGTCAAGTAGGCAGAAGGGCTTACGTTCACGTACAATAACTCTGAATTCCTTATCAAATTGAACAATGGTCACTACCCGTGCTGTGTACGATCGTCATAATTGTGCCGACCGTTCCAGCACTGGGTGATGGCTCTGCGTTTTTCTCAGTTTTTGCCACCCATCACAGCTTTGAAGGCTTGCCTACTACCTCATGTGCACAGCGCTATACAATCTTTGCCTACTACAATGGTGACACTGACTTTCTGGTACCCGAATGTAGGCCGGGCCAGTGTGAGAGCTACATTGGTTTAGACAGCAAAGGAGGGCTACCTGTTGAGTTCATGGATCATGGATTTCTCTCTGTGTCCTCTCATCACCATCTGCTGGTCCTTGAGTTGCTTGGCAACCTAACAGAAGAACACAAGATTAACCAATCAGTGAAGATCATGCCTTTGAATAATGCATCAGGGATCAAGAAACTTTTACAAGCTAGGAGAGTAAAAACTATTCGGTCAATAAGATATTTCTCACTACTAGAGTTGTTGTCATAGTCACCTCTCAAGGAGGAATAATTGCACAATACCCCGCCACTCGAAAAACACCACCAAAAAATGAATGACTACACAGTCAATGGAGCTAGAAAAAGAGTCTAAGTCCAATATAGGGTCCTCCGGAGTGACTACGCGGATACCGAGAAATGCAGTAGGAGTGAGTTGGGGAGAGCCAAAAGAGGGTGCTATTTTCTCTTTTAAAAAAATCCTCCAAGGGGAATGAATCAGTACTAGCAGCGTTCATTGAATGGGGAGGATCAAAAAGTCTAAATCCAATGTAGGTCCCCCGGAGTGGCTACAGGGATGCAGAGTGGGAGTGAGACGGATTATTGAGGGCAATCAACCGTGACTCTGTAGTGGCTACGAGGTGGATAGATTGAGTGGGGGGTATTCTGCAATTGTGCCTTCCAGGGTATTAAATGTGACCCGCTCCAAAAAAAGTATTAACTCCCGCTGTGCATTATCGTTTAATGGCCTGCTCAATGTTGAGAGGGTGAAAATTTCGTGATTTTCATTTTTTGTCATGAATGACATCTTTAATACCTCAAGTTACAGGGTTCATTAACAGAAATCTTGATTTTGATGAATAAATTTGGAAAAACCCCTGACAATTGCCCAACTCTACAACAGAGCCAGCTATTTCAAAGCCTGTTTTCTCTGTTGTGTAATTCGAACTCCAAGGAAGTAATTAATATGCAAATACGTCGTATCTCCAGAACGGGAGGGGCTATGGAGCTCTATTATATACCAAATGAAAGCTTACGTTGTGGGCTTTTCAACTCTATATCACTCAATTTCACTGTTTACGATATAATACCCTTTTTTTGTGGAGTGTGTCACAAATTAGGGGTGAACAAATACAAATAATTTGAAAGCTGGATAATTAAAGAATATGCAAATTTCAATACCAAAATTTGACTTTGTGAGAACAAGTTGCATTGGATGGATCACTTATCATAAAGACACTGCAATTTGAGGACATGAACTGGTTCTGGGTGAATGTTGGCTGGAGCAACGCACTTTATACAACTTAGAGATGAGTAGCAGCCACAGTGTAGTCCATCACAAGTCAAGTCATTTGCAAATGTAGGTCACAAGTTACATGGGATGAACAATGACAAAAGGAATGCCTATGTTACAGATTATTCCAATTGTGCCTTGGTAAGATTTGAGGCTTTGCATGGTGGAGATACTAAATAATGAAAGGTTCGCAGAAACACCATGTGCAAATAATTTCTAAACTAAGAGAATGATTCTGAAAAAAACCAGAGGTATAAACTCAATGTTCCGGTCAGTATATCTCTCCTCTCCTGAAGACGGTCAGAGCATACTGACCGGAACGTCTAGTTTATACCTCTGGTTCTTTTCAGAACCATTCTCTTAGTTGAGAAATTATTCGCACATGGTGTTTCCACAAACCTTTCATTATTTAATTGTGACTTGAGTTGAGATTGAAGGACTTGTGATTGACTTATACCCAACATCTGACTGACTTGCGAGGCCGTAACTACAACTTTGGTTGACGGCTTCCTGGGTCATGTCAACAAACTCACATCCTTAGCAGATGAGCCGGAGACATCGATCCAGGTCTTGGAGAAGAAGGCGCAGGAGGAGAGCATGAAGACAATGTAGAAGACGGCGTGGATGGGGTCGGTAGCCATGTGGCCGAAGTTCTCCGGCGGGGACATGTAGTAGCACAGACCACCCACCGGATAGGACCGATGGGGGCCAGAGTCACCCGCTTCCTGTTGTTGGAATGAGGAAAATTAAAACTTGAGAAGTTGCTCCGCGAAGAATGTAGATCTGTTCCTTTAAACGAAGGTTTTAGTCCTTGGCAGCCATAGCACAAACAAAAATTCATGTCACTATTTTGGACAGGCCTATTTAGTGCCCCTTCATTAGCATTGGTTAAAAATATCACATTTTAGCCAACCTTTTTCCCAAAATCCTACAAAAAGTCACCAACTTTTTGTCACACACAAAAGGTTCTCACTCCAATCCTAGCCAACTGGCGTAGTTGTGGTTGCTGTCAGATTGAGTACACCGGGTGTGTGCGATTTGAGGACAACTTAATGACTTGGTTTTCCCTTTAACCCTAATGTACCTGATTCCATCAAAATCCACACCCCTGTTTTGGAGAAATTCGGCATTTTCAGATTACCTCGATATTGAATAAGTTGGGGAATTTGATGGATTCAGGACAGTAAGACTAGCGGTACTGCAAGATTTTGATGGATTCAGGATACCTCCATATTGAGCAGTTGGGGGACTTTGATGGATTCAGGATCTTAACTCCTTGGCTATATGTTTGGTGTGTACGGGAATGTATGGGGCACAGTGCCTTCAAGCAAGCCGCACTGGATGGCCAGCTTACATTCAGTCAGAACCCCCAGTCTAATCTCCCTGCTTGTTGATCACGTGTCAGCACAGTGTTAGCTGCACATGTCAGTAATGTGCAGGTGCGGCCTACAAGTCTGGCTGTAACTATACATTGATGTATCAATAGTCACGATAGCATCACCTGTTCCGATTGATGTATCAATAGTCATGATAGCAGAACGCAGCAATATTGAGTAAGACTACAAGAATGTGTATTGTGCTACTTGGTTATGAAATGTTTAATGGGGATTTAGGGAACGCTCTAAAGTCGGAAGGCTTGCAACGTTCCACCGGGGAACATCACCTGTTCCGATTGGGAACATGCGTTGTTCCCACTGGGAACAGCCCGGGAACGCCAGGTGTTCCCAAGTAGGAACGTTGGTTTATCTATGCGGGTGCACACTTACTCGAGAACGGCCGGTTCCAGTTGGGAGCACGTCAGGAACACAGCACGTTCCCGATGGGAACACACAGTGTTCCTGTTTCAAACGGAACAGGAACGTTCCGACTTTTTGAGATGCTTCTTACTGCACAGAACAAAGACTAGCAGGAAATATGTGCTGCATCTGGAATTTTCTCCAGAACCACCAGGTCTAGACGGGGATGTTTGCATCTTTTCAGTTTCCGAAAGTCTTAATATGTGTTCCACATATTGTGTATTTGTGAATAAAATAACTACTACAAATTCAAAGACACTCACCGCCCACACTCCAAGCAGATTCACAAAGAAGTTGCCGCTGAATTTCACTGCCATCATCTGAATAGGAGAGAAAACAACAATCAAGACCAGCATATTCAACAATACAAGGTGGAAATTGTTTCCAGAAGCCACACTTTTTTATAGTAACATTCACAAAGTAGTAAATTTTAGTAGGTTCGCAGGACCAAGAGAGAGTACGGACCTGAGAGATGACATACAAGTTGGAGACCAAGGTGCTCTGCAAGATGATGGGGATGTTGGAGGTGTAGAAGAGCTTGATGGGGTAGGAGCTGTACTGGCCACGGTAACGAGCTGACTTGATGGGCAGGTCCACACGGAAGCCCTGCAGGTAAAAGGTAAAGTAAGGATAAAGGGAATGAACCTGTGTTCGCAGGAACGGAGTGCCCATCTCTCTTTCAAAGCCATTGGGCCAGACTCATATGCTGCTGTGGGGGGATCGCCACACCTCCTCCACAGCGAGTCTGTTACCTTCCCAGCATTGAATAATGCGGGTACCCATTTAACACCTGGGTTGAGAGGAGTAATTGAGGTAAAGCAGCTTACTTAAGGGCACAACACGCATGGCCATGGCGGGGCTTGAACCCACAATCCCACGATCATGGGGCCTGTGCTCTACTGCTAGACCACACGTGCCTGCAAGTAAGAAGGGCCACAAACACATTGTAAACCATCATCCCCTATTAAAGTTTTTTTTGTTTGATTTTGCTGTTCCACAAACCTCAGTCTTGCTAGCATAAGTGGACATTTCTGGCCCCTTGGCAAGACCGTCATCCGATTTGGAGTTGACAACCTGCCTTATAATTCAATTTACGAATAAGCTGAGTGGAACAGGGAGCAGCTTAAACACCGCTGGGACACAAAAGAGTTTGCTTTGGTTTACAAAACAAATGAGAGAGGGAGGTTGTGCTGATTTCCTCTCATTTCCAGCCTAGACGCACCGGACGGTGAGACCTCCTTTGACTCCTAGCACTGAATGGTCTCAGTTATAGAATATCAATAGTCGGAACACTTTGGGAAGGATGTCAAAACCACACTGTAGACTTGCTCATTTGTCATTGGATAAAGATGAAGGTACACACCCAAGCACAAGTAAAAACACAAAGTGCACCCATGTAAGATATTGTGTACATGTACATGTGGTTCCATATGGGGCAGTAAACACAATAGAACAATAAATCCCACAAGGAAGTCTTTGGAAATCTATCTTCCTCATCAGAGATTGCGATTTCAATAGGAACAATGGAGAGCAAAAGAAGGGCAACAAAGGCGTTCCCCACGTTGCTAGGAAGTTCTGGATCCACAGAAAATGTTTGTATAGCTATTGTTCAGCATAGTAATTTTAATCCGCCAGTGCTCCGGGATAAACACACGCCAACTTTTTGAGTCATGAAATTACAGTTTTTGAGCATACATGGGTGGCTTTTCCCTTTTACTCCTTGGGGAAATAATAGCCACTTATTGCTCGCCTGTTGACACGTTTCAACAACAATGTTCGGTATGTTTGGTACACAAAAATCGGAAGCAAAGGATGATGTTCGGTATAGCCGAGTGTTTGGTATAGCGGTGTTCAGTACAGCGACGTTCCAATGTATTTGTGTGCGGGCATGCCCGCCTCGAGTGGTACAATCCCTACAGTAGCCATGTCTAGTGGACCATTCCAGCTTTGGTCATAAGCCTAACAGCGTTTGGTTTGGATACATTTCTCAAAGCGGTTGTGACCGAATTTGACCCGTGGTCATTGGACAAAAACGTGATCTCATCAGTCAATGCGTAGGGATATCCTATCAAGGAGTTTGCACGGCATTTTACAGATGCAGATGCACTACATGATTGACAGGTTCAGCCAGCCGAACTCGGCAAGCTCGGTGGTCGACTGGTAAGCAAGAGGTCGTGGGTTCGAGTCCCACCCGAGTGATTTATTTCTATCACTCGGCACAACACTGAGTATACAGTGTTAATATATTAAATATGGGGAAGGGAAAAAACCCAATATTGGGCTGACAAGTACGAAGGGTACATTCTCATGAGATCTGATTCAAGACACTTCAAAACAAATTTTATGTAAATTTAGAGTCGCTTTTTGGTGTGCATAATCGAGACTCCTGGACAGATTTTGGATTCAATATCATTACTATATATATATTTAATTTGACCATTACCATAACATACAAAGTCTCGTCAGGGCTGTAGTGGGGTGGGCGTAGACATTGCAGCCGCTACAAATATGTGGCCTGTGAAACTGACATAATATTCAGGCATGCAACTGGGAAGTCACAAAAAAAGAGGAAATTCAAATCTTTCGAAGACTTTGTACAGTGTTTTTCTATTTTCAATGGCACACATGGGAAGTAAAAAAAAGAGGAAATCAGCCGATCCGAGGAAAAGTTGCATGCCTGAATATTAGAATGACAGCCCTACTTACCTGGAAATAGATGACGATGGCAAAGACCAGCAGTGTAGCCATCAGGTTCATCAGGTTGGGTAGGTTCTGCCTGTAGAAGGCCTCACGCAGGGCACGCACCTTGTCGGTACGGGTGGCCAACAGGTGGAAGAGGGCAATCACAGCGCCCTCAAACTCGGTACCTGAAATATATAGGATAGTATGTGGTCATGCTTGGTGTGTAAAGGCACCATATAAACGACCAGCATGCAGTTTATCACCATTCAGAAATACAGAGTGCCTTTCAGAGAAATTTTGTGTTGGAGCACTGCCATCACCACCAGGCTCAATGGTTTCATACTATTATTTACTTGCAGTCAAGTGGGCTATTTCATAATGTTTTGGCAGTTTTGATTTTTAGTGTTTGCAAATGATCCTTTATGCCTTTCAACAAGTGTCCCAGATTTTTTTCACCTGTTGCACAATGTGGCATCTGGAAGGGTGAAAGTGAACGGGCCACTCATTGGTTACCGTGAAGATAAATTAGTGGCAGTAAGTGATTTGCTAGCTAAATGGGAAGATATTGCAGGAACTAGCACTAGCTTGCTGACTCCACTGGGAAGTTTTTGCAAGTTAGATGGGAATTTTTGTAGGCACTCACTTAATTGTAGAATAGACAAGTTGCCTTCAACCTCAACAGCTTCCCAGCTTTTTTAAAAGACGAACGAGCAAATCATAATGGCTTGCTACAGTTGAGTTACATTTTATCACATACATATTCATGATCGAGAGCTGAATTCTCACTGGTCCATTCACCATCACGTGCCAGGTGCTATTTTTGCTGTTTACCAAGCTTGCACAAGGGTATTCAGGCACAGCGTAAATACGCATGCGTAGTAAGCCATCGCACAGGTTGTCCGTGCGACAGTCCTTTACGCATACACTTTACGAAGCAATCATGAAACTGTCGCACGGGTGTAATACACATGCGCCAACATGCACACATAAATGTATAAGATTCCGAACTGGATAATGTTGTGGACAATAAAGATGCCTCCTCTAGGCTCTACTAAAAAAAATGTTGTCCACAATGCGGTACAAACAGATAGGAATTACGATATTGCAAAAGAACTAAACTTTTCTGAGGTTAAACAATACTCTTCTGGTGAGCTGGACAAGTTTCTCCAATGATATTGTGCCGAGGTGCATGCTACAACTGGAAAATTGGGTAACTGAATATGTATGAGGTATAGTAAAACAAATGTAACATGGTTTGTTACAGGTGAATAGTAGATATTAGCTTCCCTCGGTATTGGAATTTGACAAATGAGTTCCCTCGGCTTCACAGCTTTAACTTCCAATACCTCGTGGAGCTAATATGGACTATCCACCCTCAAACCATGTTATAGTTATATAATATTTACCTCTTCCAGTGTTGACAGTGGCCGGACTAAATGCCCGCCAGACAATGGTCTCACATACGTTGGTAGCAATGAAGAGGGAGATACCAGACCCGAGTCCGTAACCCTTCTGCAGCAGTTCATCTAGCAGCAGCACAATCAGTCCAGCAACAAACAGCTGGGAATTGGGGCAGAGGCAACGCACGATGTCAATTACAATTACAAATGCCAAGTTAATACATGATAACTTCAAACTGAAACTAGTTGCTTTCAACAGTATGTTAAACATAACTTTTTTTGACAATTAGTTTCCAATAACGACGCTTCCATAGAATCTTCGTCAACCAAACCTGTAGCATACCTTCTTGTGAAAATACACTTTGGGGATCACAGGGCAATTGTGCGTACTTGAGACAAATCTGAGCTTGTGAATACTGTACACTCAGAAGTGCCAACGTAAGACCAAAATAATTGTGTTGCCCTCACATGAAATATATCAATATATTGTCCAATTACATGACACGAAAATGGACGCGCAACGCGCAGAATCTGAGACAAACAAAACTTAACGTACAAAATTCTATAGGGTTGACCAAGGGGCATGGCACACACGCAAACGGCGATAGGTCAATACTGGGTCATATGTTCAAATTGGCCTGTGCTGTTCATTAAGAGCACACTTTCTTTTTTCTTTTTGTAGTCCACACTACTACTATGTTAACACATTTGATTACCAAGCTTTTTGGGTGCGCTGTCCGATCTACTGTTTTGCAGAATTGTACATTTTTGATAAGGTTTTTGCGGGGAAAACAATAAAGGACATGCACCAACCTGTATGATGATGAGCAGACAGATGCCTGCACCAATCTCAGCTGGGTCGCCATACATGCCTGTCATGACGTACACGATGGCCTGGCCGACAGTTATGATCATACCAAACACTGTGAAATACCAACAAGGGAGACAAACAAAAATGCAATCAGCACAACGAACGAGTTAAGTACCGTCCTGTCCACAGTATTAATAGCCCGAGCCATGCAAGTCGCAACACAGTACAAATGGCGTGAAAGTCTGCCGAACCCTGCTACTTTGAGCCATCAACATGAGCGCATTAATTGCCCGTTCTGAGACAAATGGAGGTAGTCACAGTGAACAATGCCACCAACTGTATCAAGATGCATCTTGATACAGTTGGTGACTACATACACTTTAAGGGCCCGTCTAAATTCATATCAGTCTCAGGATTCTGAACAACTTCCCCGCAATCTTCCCGTAATGAAGTCTCAGTATTTGTGAGCATCCAGGACAAATACAGAGCTTCTTCCGGACAAATTGAATGATTTCTTTACGCAACTTGTCCAGGACTCTTCCTTCCTATGACTTGAAATGGACCTTAACCCTAACCCACCTCACTCCTCCAAAATCCTCCTGGCAGTTTTGGAGGATTCTAGAGGATTGAGGATGAATGGTGATTGAATCAAATGAGGATTCTGGAGGATTGAGGATGAATGGCGATTGAAGCACATGAGGATTTTGGAGGATTGAGGATGAATGGTGATTGAAGCACAAGAGGATTTTGGAGGATTGAGGATGAATGCATTTTGAGGCAGGACTGTCTGATGATTTTGAAGGATTTGGCGTTGGTTATCCTTCATTTAAACACGAGTGCAAAGTTTTGGGATGAGGAGGATTTTGGAGGATTGAGGATGAATGCATTTTGAGGCAGGACTGTCTGACAATTTTGAAAAATTTAGGCGGAGTTGCAAAATTTTGGAAAATTTTGGAGGATTTTGGAGGATTGAGGATGGTTGTAAGCAACAAGGGCCTAGGGGGTTAGGGTTAAGGCTGTTTAGCCTGGGGATTTGTGATCTGATGAATCTTGTTATTCAAAGCAGCACCCGATTTCATCAAACTTTTCGTAACTTACAATGCATCGCAGCGATGCGACGCGTCGTATCTCTACGATACGTCGCAGCTGCGACGCGTCCTGCGATCCATTTCACGAAACACGTCGTAAGTGCGACGTATCGTAGGTGTATTTATAGCACAACTCGGTGATTGTTTTATGTCTATAGTCAGCGTACAGTAAATAGTCGTCTGATATTCAACAAAGAGTCGTCGGATCTCAGCTCGAAATTTGTTAAAACGTAAAACAAAATGGTGACCGTGTGATGCAATTTTGAAGGAAAACAAGCTCTCAGTGGACTGTATATAGCTACTTTGAAATTTCAACTGCAATATTCCAGTCTTATTCATAATTATTCAATACATTTTCTATTTACAACTTTACACACATTGCCTCGGTATTATAATCTCGTTTCTGTCATGTTTATGGCATTAAACTGGCTTAGAAAGGGACTCTTCGTATTTTGCGAAAACCACTAGACACGTCGTAACTTGCGACGTGTATAAAATACCACACATGGGATATCAGGTCCTCCACTAATTTCAGACTTACACAAACAACTAATCCTGACAAACACGCATTTGAAGCAACTTTTGAAAAGAAACAGGATTGAAGACAACAGCTTGAACGGCTCCAGTTTTGGTGCGTCTAAAGACGCACTGTTAGAAATTTCCGTTAGTAGTTTGTTTTTTTATTCGGCGAAGTGCACGCAAGCATTGACACGACGCACACACGCGCGCGGTTGCTATAATTCGTCGGATTGGTGCCCGACATCATGTAGCTGCAATCGGCTCAGTGAGAACGTGTCTCAGACGCTGAATTCAGGCCCAATTCAAAACATGAATCATCAACTTTTGATTTAAAATCGAGTTCCTAGAATATTGTTTTTCTCGAAATATACAGCTAAAGCTGAGCTGAAACTTCATCAGGTTAGTTGTTCAGCACCCTTCTTAAGATTTTGAGCACGTTTGTTGCTTCAAACGAACAAAATGCACATATTACAAATGATGGACTGTACCTTGAACAAAATGAATGGTTTCAATTCTCTTTTTTTTCTCTGTGTTTCTGTATCTACTGCCTTACATTTCTGAGCTCCATTGAAGAGGGCACGGTCCTTAGGGGTGTCGCCAACCTCAATGATCTTAGCTCCAGCAAGCAGCTGCATGATCAAGCCTGACGTCACGATGGGTGATATACCCAGCTCCATGAGTGTACCTGTGGGCAAAAGAATGAAAACAAAAGTTCAAAGCCCTGTTGCTTAAAAAGGTCTGTTATGTAATGAGTGCCCCCTTTTGAAGTATGGAACTAACAAGTAAGGATATGAATTTAGTTTAACCCTAACCGCCCTGAATCCTTCAAAATCCTCTTTGCCAAAGTGGAGAAATTTGGTGGATTGAGGTTACATGGCACAAGGGCGTTGCTGATTTTGTAGGATGCACTTTGTCAACGTCTTGGGCCGGCCCTTGTGTTGAGCCATGCATAAATATAGGCCTGGATTATGCTTGAAATCCTCAGTACTGCTCCAGGATGTCACTGGTCAAGCCTCAAAATATTGACAGTCACTGCGCAGGATTTTGCAGGATTCAGGCAGTGGTCACCCCTACATGGACCACATTCAAGAAATAATGGAGGAATTCGCAGGATTGAGGCTATATGCTATTTTCCAGGAAGCCAATTGGAGGATTTTGCAGGATTGAGGCTACATCCTAGCAAAAAGGCATGTGCGCATGCTTGACCTTACCTCTGTTTGACGCCATAATGACACGCATCCAGTAGAAGGGATCAGCTGAATCCGAAGACATAATACCAAACAGGGGAATCTGGAAAACAAGTCATTGTTGCATCCTGTTACATTTAGCAGGGTAACGGTTAAGAGGAGTAAACAGTTGCACAAGATGTGTTTCTTAGAATAATTCTTCTCATGTACCCTGAAGCCACCACGAGGGCAAAGAAACATTATCCTGGTTGTGTCCTGTGGGGATGCACAACTTGACAATCTCAGGACAGGATTCATTTTCTACCCTTTTTTTTTTTTCAATGCCAAACTTGGGGGGGGGGGGGGGGCGCACTTACCTGGCAGCACACCAAGAAGATGAACAGCGTTATGGCAGTCCATAATACCTTCTCCCTGAACTGGATCTGTGTAGCAAAACATACAATTAACACATTTTAATTTAACTTAACTCTCTTCAAAGATTTTCTAAAAAGTACTCCACATAAACATAAACTCCACATAAACATAAACTCTAACTTCAGTACTGTGAAGCACATTCTTTTCACCAAAAATATTTTCAGTGGTTCACGTTCTCAGATCAACACATAAGGATAATAAGATATTTTGGTACGCTTATTTATAATATCTACTTGAGAAACACAAATGTGATGCGATCAAGCTTAATGAGTTGTTTGTCGGGAACTTTCATTTGGAGATTCAGGCCAAAATAGGGCCATTTCATCACATCACTTGATGTTCTGACTTCCATAGTTTGTCTAACTTGCGAAACGCAAATGTGATGTGATCAAGCTAAATGAGTCGTTTGTCAGGAACTTTCATTTGGAGATTCAGGCCAAAATAGGGGCACTTCATCACATCATTTCATTACATCTCTTGGTGTTCTGACTTCAATAATTTGTGAACTAAAGATGGTACCACATCAGTAATGCTGAGATTGTACTCTTTTCAAATCTGTAATAAAACAAAAATTGACCACTGTCGACAAACGACTCATTTAGCTTGTTCGCATCACAAATACAGAACGGTTGGTTAAGCAAATGGGAACAAAATATTGAAAATCACTGGTTCTGCATCTTCTCAATTTTCAACTCGTATCAACGCATACAGTGATTAAAACTTAGCCCACCTTTCTCTCTGGTTTGGAGATTTCTGGCAGCACCGCACAGAAGGGCTTCAAGACTTCGAGAAACTTCACTACAGTGACAAAATATTCAAGTACAAAGTTAGGATCATTTTGTGAATCAAAGTGAATTTCAAGACAATTTTGGTTTTTGATCAAGTAGGAGGATTGGGGCTGTCCTGAAATCAAGTCCAGACTCATGTTTCAGATTTGCACGCACAACTAGGCATGCAAAGGAACGGTGCATAATACTATTATTTAATACTCATAGTTCTAGGGGTAACCGAACACTGCATGCATCGTTTTCTCTTCCAACCATGCCAACCATCGTGGTTACTTTTTGAAGCATAAGTTATTGAACATGTTGAATGGTTTTCGACATAGGTCAGTCCATGGAGCTATAGCTTCATGGTCATACTACATAGCCACGACACGTAACACTGTCTGACTGTACCCCCTGTGCTGTAGGCTGTCAAGCCTGCGCCTCATTTCAACATGATTGTTCAATCATTTCTTGCAAAGCAAGCACAAGCGCACTTGGAATGGACGTGGCCGGCCCCTCTAACATTGTCTAACTAAGGCTTAGCCCGACTGCGTCTGGCCGTACAGTACTATCGCAAGCTCTGTAGTACGGCCAGACGCTGAATGCTTCCCAAAAGACTGAATTTTTTTGGCCGCTGATGTAGCGATTTTGCTACATTTTTTGATCGAGATTATCTTTTCATCCAGGACAAAAATTTCCACAGTTAAGGTTCTTAGTCGTAGAGCAACTCGTACCTTTTCGAAAAAACGTTCTTTGGTCTCAATATTTTCATCCATCTGGCCAAATAACGACTTTCAGTGATCATTTTCCACAAATATCGTCCCGAAAATGCTCCCCCATGCGATTTCAAAATGGCGGCCGCGCTGTAACTCATGAATATGCATAAAAAGTCTGTGACGTATGACTCGTGTTTTTGGACGTGCGTGCGGCGGCGCTTGTAGACAACAGCCCAGTACGTGCATGCACACTTACGTCCGCGCGGCGGTGTGCATGCACGTACTGGGCTGTTGTCTACAAGTAATGTACATGTACATATGTACGTACGGCGCCGCCGCACGCACGTCCAAAAACACGAGGTCATACGTCACAGACTTTCATGCATATTCATGAGTTACAGCGCGGCCGCCATTTTGAAATCGCATGGGGGCGCATTTTCGGGACGATATTTGTGGAAGATGATCACTGAAAGTCGTTATTTGGCCAGATGGATGAAAATATTGAGACCAAAGAACGTTTTTTCAGAAAGGTATGAGTTGGTCTACGACTAAGAACCTTAAATGTGGAAATTTTTGTCCTGGATGAAAAGATAATCTCGATCAAAAGATGTAGCAAAATCGCTACATCAGCGGCCAAAAAAAATTCAGTCTTTTGGGAAGCATTCAGCGTCTGGCCGTACTACAGAGCTTGCGATAGTACTGTACGGCCAGACGCAGTCGGGCTAACTAAGGCTCTATTAAATTAAACTAGAAACAACAACATAATCACTGCTTTCCTGTTTTGTACATTATACTGAACAACTAACCCATTTTGATTGCCTGTCCTCTGGTTTGATGGCCACAGACAACGTGACGGAGCAAGAAATCCGAGATAAATGTAGAAAATCTGGTTGGAATATCGTAGCCGCTGGAAAATGGACGACGGAAAGGATTCGCTGGTACTCGCAATATAGCAAGCATCACTGCTTACTGCACATATCTGTTCCGCAACCAGCGACGATAAGCTGGTTCGGTCACGTGACTAAATGCAAACGTGGACGTGTACAAATTAAGGCATGGTAACCCAAGCACGCCTGCTTTCGAAAGCGTTGGTAGAAAGGAAGGGTCTCAGACTTTTATGTGTCCATTCGCAATGATGCCAATGATGTGCGTGTGATGACATGAAGCAGGTGGTTCCATCCGCAGAATGACCACTCGTTCATATGAATAATTAATTAGCAATCATTCCAAAACCCTTTGACCTATACAGCTATACAGTGTGAGTAAAACAAAACTATGAAAAATCGGTCATAGTTTTATTCTGCAGCAGTATAGTATAGATAAGATATTTTCAGATGTACTTTTTTTAGAGTAAGATTCCTGCTTCTCACTCGGGTGACATCACTGGATTAGTTTTCATGCATGACTGCACAGGTGACAATTAAAGGTGTCGGCTGAAAACTGACTTTGCACCAACTGTGCATTGAACCGTTTTATCTCTTTGTTAGACAATGGTCGTGATCTTTTAAAGTGTCTCTTTCTTACGCAGCCCTGACCAGTTGGCGCAAGTCAGATGAATATGTCACTCAAGCTGGAAGATTACTCTCAAAAGTACATATGGAAATATCTTATCTCATGATATTGCTACAAAATAAAACTATGGCCAATTTTAAAAGTGTATAGTTTTTTTTTAAACTCACACTGTAGTCATGACATGTCTTGGGTGTGTTCATGTTGAGTTGTAAGCATGCATGTACAGAGTTTCATAATTTTTCGTCACTCGATGGCCGGAATCCGCCCCCCCCCCCCCCCCCCCCCCACCGGCTATGAGATGGTCAAAATACAATAAAAAAATGTAACATAGCCCTTGGGTTTTATTTTGTATAGAATTGAGGATGAGATCGCAACGTACTTCTCACATTATTTTTCAGGAAAACTATGTTTGATTACAGGCTAATGAAAGACTGTTGGAAACAGCGAACGGAACAGAGGCCTGATTTACAGTGTTGGAATTTCCTTAACTGAGATCCGTCCGTATATTGTTGAAATCAGTAGTAGTGCATGACGGAGTTGAGAATCGGCGTCTGTCCAAATGCAACTGAGACAGAGTAGTCAGACGCAGATCCAGACGAGGTCGAACCCCCCTTAAATTATGGAACGCCAAACGTACCAATTTATGATGTTACCGGGTAAACGTAATATGATGATGTCGTCAATCTATTATGTGATGTCGTCAATCTATTATGTGATGTAGTCAATCTATTATGTGATGTCGTCAATCCATTATGTGATGTCGTCAATCCATTATGTGATGTCGTCAATCTATTATGTGATGTAGTCAATCTATTATGTGATGTCGTCAACCCATTATGTGATGTTCTCAATCCATTATGTGATGTCGTCAATCCATTATGCGATGTCGTTAATCTATTATGTGATGTCGTCAATCCATTATGTGATGTTGTCAATCCATTATGTGATGTCGTCAATCCATTATGTGATGTAGTCAATCCATTATGTGATGTAGTCAATCCATTATGTGATGTAGTCAATTCATTATGTGATGTAGTCAATCCATTATGTGATGTTGTCAATCCATTATGTGATGTAGTCAATTCATTATGTGATGTTGTCAATCTATTATGTGATGTAGTCAATCCATTATGTGATGTAGTCAATCCATTATGTGATGTAGTCATTCCATTATATGATGTCGTCAATCTATTATGTGATGTCGTCAATCCATTATGTGATGTCGTCAATTTATTATGTGATGTTGTCAATGCATTATGTGATGTCGTCAATCCATTATGTGATGTCGTCAATCCATTATGTGATGTCGTCAATCCATTATGTGCTGTCGTCAATCCATTATGTGATGTCGTCAATCTATTTTGTGATCCATTATGTGATGTAGTCAATGCATTATGTGATGTAGTCAATCCATTATGTGATGTCGTCAATCCATTTTGTGATGTAGTCAATCTATTATGTGATGTAGTCAATGCATTATGTGATGTCGTCAATCCATTATGTGATGTCGTCAATCCATTATGTGCTGTCGTCAATCCATTATGTGATGTCGTCAATCTATTTTGTGATCCATTATGTGATGTAGTCAATGCATTATGTGATGTAGTCAATCCATTATGTGATGTCGTCAATCCATTTTGTGATGTAGTCAATCTATTATGTGATGTAGTCAATGCATTTTGTGATGTAGTCAATCCATTATGTGATGTAGTCAATCCATTATGTGATGTCGTCAATCTATTTTGTGATGTAGTCAATGCATTATGTGATGTAGTCAATGCATTATGTGATGTAGTCAATCCATTATGTGATGTCGTCAATCCATAATGTGATGTAGTCAATCCATTATATCGTCAACCCATTTACGTGGAGTTACTGCGTAATGGATTGACAACACCGCATAATAGATTCACTACATCACATAATTCGGGAGCCAGGGTGACCGTTTTAGCTGAATTTCGGCTAAATTTGACAGAATATTTCGGGCCAAAACGAGTGAAACAGAAAGTTTAGCAGATCGATTTCGTTAAGGAGCAAGCAGATTTCTGTAAAATAAGTATTTTGACGGGAAAATATGGCTGATTTGAAAATATAGCCGATTAGTTTTGAAAAAGCTTCAATTTGAAGCTGCCTGACTGTAAAGCACTTATGCCAGGATAGACACGTGTAGTCAAAAAAAATCAATTAATTTTTTTAAAGCAAATTTTATATTTCTTTTGTTTAAGAAAATTATAAACTGCATGTGATTATCAGTGTTTATAAATGGATATCGTTTAATAATAGATGATTTAGGCCCCACTAAATTTCCAGGCGCTTTTTCTTTCTTTCTTTAATATGAATAATATACTTCTATTTTTATGAAAGTTCTAATCGAAAAGATAATTATGTATACAGAATGTATCTCAATTTGTTAATTGGTAGTAAGAATTTTTCATAGCACGACAAGTTTATGACCAGTTACACGGCAGCGGATTCATAGGTATATTACTATTAGTCAAGACAATCTGATTTAAAAGGCCTCAATACTTACTACGACCACTAAGGTGGGACATAACCAGTTAATTAAAGAAGTTGACATATTCAGCACTTTCAATTTGTCTTGTAGGATTATACATGATCATAATCAAACGTTTACTGATCTATAACCACACTACCTGTTAGTACTTTTCTTGTTCCACTAATTCGTAATCCCATCCCACTTTGCCACCCACCGATCATTCCTGAAATAATTCGTTGTCTTTCGCGGCACAAGGAAAATTTAAGTCTGTAATGATCTGTGCCGTTCTAAAGCGTATGTCCCTACCCCCCCCCCCCCCTTCCCCCTCTGATAGCTTGCAGGCAGTAAGGTTTTAGTTTTTATAACCGCCTGTCCACAACAATTGGACATAAAAAAAAACCTGACGGCCCTGACCTCCGACTCCCCTCCCCCCTGCAAAAATGCCTGGATCCGCCATCCGCCCTTCTGCTCAGTTGTTTTGAGCACGTGAACCTAATTAGCCTGCCCTTGGATCTCTGTCTCCAACAGATAAACTGGTTCATATAAATCTATCAACAAGCTTATTCTCCTTCCACCATTGTTTTCTTAAAGGGAATACACATCATTTGCTTTTGCTGTAATTTTCAGAAATGGATGGAATGGGGGGTTGGAAATATATAGCAAATATAGTTACACTGACTTTTTTGAGCGGGTTTTGGGTTCGAAAATGCTATAAAAACCAAGAAAAACTATCATTTTCCTGTAGTCTGGTTCCCTGACTCCATATAAGAAGAAACAGAGCAGTTTACATACATTGGGGAATTGTAAGGTCAGGGAACCAGTCTTACTGGCTCGTACCCGTTCATAGGTTTGTAATCGATTGCAAACAAGTGCGATGGTCACGGGGCCAGTATTTGAAAAAAAGCCAGTTGTTTCCAACGCTGATCGGCCGATCAGCGTTGGAAATTGATACAAAAATACCACTTTTCTTGAAAATGACAGTATACCAGGTGCACACTGTCATTCACTAACAGTCCAGAAAGGTATTTCAAAATGATTCGGTAGTTTTATCTTTTGATGTTTGCAAATGTTGTATTTTCCCTTTAATTCCCTCTTCTGCTCAGTTGCATAACAACTCACTGGATAATTTTTTCGCATGCCTGTCTCAAACAGCGATGCTATGATAGCTAGCACATCCTCAGCAAGGTCCATCTGGATCTGGTAAAACTATTAAAAATGTCCAACCACCCTAGGGCTCTCTTCATACACTTCCCTGTACCTATATTCTCCATCGTACAGCAAGACGGCTCATTTTCTTGATGAAAACGAAATCATTCCAAAATTGAAGCATGCCGGTGCATCATGAATTTATGATAAAGAAATTAACTACAGGGCTCCGAAGGCGCGTCTCCAAAGAGCGCTGACCGTATTTATTGCCGTATAATAAAACCTGACTAGACACGACATTTATATAATTTGACGTCGCCGATGATGAAATTAATTTTAGCAAAATGTGCTTGGTACTTTTCATTGGGCTCAAGGGATAATTTAAACATGTTCTGTGTTCCATTATTATAATTAATAACAATGTCCGAAGTGTCATAAAAACAGACAAAGTCTTCATGGTAATATGTGTCTGGTAATTAGGATAACATTACGTCTGATATCGAGAGTCACATGTTCACAACTTTAACGCAGCACACGCCTGCATGCCGCTTCCACGTGAGTATGGTCAGTGCAATACGCTGTGAGCTATCCCTTTATATAGTTCCTGCCAGGGTGACCGTAAGGTACTGGCAACATTCTGCTAGATGTACTTTCAAACTCTGCTAGATTTAACAAAAATCTACTAAATCACCTATCATTACACGGAATTCATTATAAACACTTATGCTCACACGCAGTATATAATTTCCTTAAACAAAAGAAATATAAAATGTCCTTTAAAAAAAATAATTGATTTTTTTTTTTTACTGCACGTGTCTATACTGGCATAAGTATTTTACAGTCAGGCAGCTTCAAATTGAAGCTTTTTCAAAACTAATCGGCTATATTTTCAAATCTGCCATATTTTTCCGTCAAATTACCAATTTTACAAAATTCTGCTTGCTCCTTAACGAAATCGATCTGCTAAACTTTCAGTCTCACTAGTTTTGTCCCGAAAAATTCTGTCAAATTTAGCCGAAATTCAGCTAAAACGGTCACCCTGGCTCCCGAATTATGTGATGTAGTGAATCTATTATGCGGTGTTGTCAATCCATTACGCAGTAACTCCACGTAAATGGGTTGACGACATCATATAATGGACTGACTACATCACATAATGGACTGACTACATCACATAATGGACTGACTACATCACATAATGGATTGACTACATCACATAATGGATTGACTACATCACATAATGGATTGACTACATCGCATAATGGATTGACTACATCACAAAATAGATTGACGACATCACATAATGGATTGACTACATCACATAATAGATTGACTACATCACATAATGAATTGACTACATCACATAATGAATTGACTACATCACATAATAGATTGACTACATCACATAATAGATTGACGACATCACATAATGGATTGAGAACATCACATAATGGGTTGACGACATCACATAATGGATTGACTACATCACAAAATAGATTGACGACATCACATAATGCATTGACAACATCACATAATGGATTGACAACATCACATAATGGATTGACTACATCACATAATGGATTGACTACATCACATAATTGACTACATCACATAATGGATTGACTACATCACATAATGGATTGACGACATCACATAATAGATTGACGACATCACATAATGGATTGACTACATCACATAATGGATTGACGACATCACATAATGGATTGACTACATCACATAATAGATTGCATACAACACATAATGAATTGACTACATCACATAATGAATTGACTACATCACATAATGGATTGACTACATCACATAATAGATTGACGACATCACATAATGGATTGACTACATCACATAATGCATTGACTACATCACATAATGCATTGACGACATCATGAAATTACGTTTACCCAGTAACATCATAAATTGGTACGTTTGGCGTTCCATATTAAATGCCTGAATGCTTGGCTAGCACATAACTTTTTTATTTTGTTTAGCCTCTATTCTGTTTTAACTTAATATTTACATCTGCTCGGCTGGTCTCCGGTAGTATTAAAACGAAACAAAGGTCAATGTCATAAATCAATGAATATAAAATAATTGACTATAATCAAAATTAAGCTTCTTTTGATCAATATGACTACCATCATTAATGGCACAATATTTCCAATTGACGTAAGAAACGCCATATACAATATTCATATTTCAAACAACGTTTCTTTTAATTGTGAACTTTCCCAACAAATTAATATAGTAAATCGCAAAATAGGAGAAACGAAAGAAAACAAAACCCCTAACCCTCAAAACTGGAAATACAAAATTTAAAAACAAAGTCAAGTGGAACACAACAAAGAGACATTAAGAATTGAAGTCTAAGTGCCATTATACATGGGGCTTTATAGAATTCATTGACATGCATGCAGGCGCAGACCCAGAGGGTTGCTTTTTGGGGGGCGGGGGGGGGGGGTTCAAACCCCTGCTCTGATACATGTACAAGAAAGTAAAGCTATCTCACGGGCCTGAATCCGAGGGGTCTGAGCCCCTCCCCCCCCCCCCATCCCCGCCTCTGGTCCGTTTTTGACGCAAGTTGGTAAATTGATATGAATTGTGATATCGACCTGTCGATATTTCATTGTGGAACCGTACTACTCTGTCACTGAACCATGGGATGACCGCGATGGTGGTCAAAAGACCACCAGGACGGGAGCCGGACCGATGGGGGGGGGGGGGGGGGACCGGGCGCCTCTGTGGGGCCGCGGTCCGACGTGGCAGTCGGATTAACCGATCCCCGCGGTCCATTCGAGACCTAGCCTGGGCTTCCCCGGGCCCCGGGTTCTGTGGGCGACCCTCTCCGGCCGGCTCCCCCACGCGGGGCACTGGCGCGGCACTCGGCGGCGCTTCCAAAACCCTGGCGTGGGTCACTCCCGCCTGCACCCGCAAGACAGCACGTTGGCCGGCCCCACCCGAGCGGGGTCCGACCGGGGACAACCAAACTTCGGCCCTTTGGAAGGCCGTGTTTTTTTCTCTCTGATCGGTAATGATCCTTCCGCAGGTTCAACGAACGGAAACCTTGCCACGGCTTTTACTTCCTCTAAATGATTCAAGTTCGATCGTCAAGTTCCGGGCGCCCTAGCGAGGCGCTGAGGGCGCCCCGCCGCGGCCCGTCCGAGGATTTGACTAAACCATTTAATCGGTATAGTAGCGACAGGCGGTGCGTACAAGGGGCAGGGATTTTGACACCTTGCAAAACTTCCGATGATAGAATATTAACGACGGTAACGACTCGCCAAAAGCGTGGATCACAACAGGGGACAGGAGTGGATCCACCATTTTGCGGGGGGCCGGGGGGGGGGGGGGTCATCAGCCAAAAATTATGAAATGTAGACTTTTTTTTCTGCGGACACTTTGGAATCGGAAAATCAATAGGTGGGGGGGGGGGAGGGCTCGCACCATACTTTCAATCTGGGTGCTCTTCAAATCCGACGATTATTAACATGAATATGCATAACGCAGAGAGAGCGCCCTCTTTTGATATTGTCCGATCTAGTTTTGGAGAAGAAATTCCGCTTCCCGGTCCATAGCCTTTAGTCAAGTCCCACGCGCTTACCCGGACACGTGACGCACCCCGGATGCTGACACGTAAAAAGACTAGCACGAGCGGCGAAGCCGCGAGGGACTTTACCATCTTGGGAGAACGCTTATATTTTTCTTTACATTTGTCTACCGATTTGGTAGACATGCATAATGCATTACCCGTTGTGAATTGACCAATGAAAATGCAGAATTACTAACGTAAATCAGCCGTCGTCTGGCGCCAGACAGCACGCGCGCCATGCATGGCGCGGGTGCTGTTGCTGGTAACCGCAAACCACCGTTAGACCACCAGTTTTTTTTTCCGCGATACCCTTGGAAAAATTATTTTCGCGACCCGAGCTGTCCTGACTTTTTAGCCTCGAGTCTTGCGCATCTTTTGATACCAAAGACATAAAATTCGGACCACGGGTTGTCGCGCAGCGAAAAAAATCCCGGTCCTACGCGCCCTGAAAACTGAATTTCTCCATTTACGTAGCGTACACAAAGTCAGAATGCAGAGGCAAATTATTTTTGCCAATGTTCTGTCCGGCGGGCCTCTTTCTACATGTACGATCTGCATTTTGTTCGTTATTGGCTGGAAATTAAGCTTGCGAGAGGTTGGGGAGGGGGCTACATAAACAATCTTTGCAAATTTTCTTTGAACTCTGCACATGATGTCCACATCTTTGGACCAGTTTTTGGATATCCAGTGCTCTCCAGCAAAAAGAAAAGTAAAGGGCAAGTTTAGGCCCAAATAATGAAGAACGTAAATCGGCAAATTGTGTTTCAACACCATAGAGCAGAGTAAACAAAGTAAACTTTACGAAAATCTGTAACATCTCAATTAACGTGCAGACCCATCCCCCAGCTCCTGAACTGTGATTCTTGAACTGCATTATATTTCTCCCTCGATTTGATTTACTAACATAAAAATCGCCCCCCCCCCATTATATTTAGAAGCTCTAATTCAGCCTTTATGTTGACTGTGACTGTGTCTGTAGCTAACACGCACCCTATTTGGGGAGAGGTCATACTTTATAACTGGCGGCGATGTAATTCTTTACAGACCAGTTTTAGGAGCATTTTTTTCTCTCGGATGTGAGGTGGATGTAGTCATGACAACACCATCACTATATTCAATGACATTCCAACAACTGAAATCCACAAAAATAAAGTAAAAACTTGGAAGTTTTATTCTTCGATGTTTGCAAATGTTGTATACATGTATTCCCTTTAAGACATTTTCTAAATTATTCACACAAATGGATTGCCATATGAATTGCCAAAACGGCAGTGCAAGCGGCAGTACCAAATAATTATCTATCACTGCACACGAAGGAAAAACAGTTATTATCATATACGACCGTAGGAAAACACATTGATGGTGAATATGACCATCCCTTCTTTAGATGTATTGACGACCGGGCATTGTGTTTACAAAGGTCTCAGCTCTTGACGTACGTACAGCTTAAGAGCAAACTAACCATGATAATACGTCAGGCAGGGATGCTTACAAATCTCATTAGCGTTAGCATTACTCTCCTACTAGGTAATGATTACTATGTGGATGCTATAAAAATGTAAACCCACCTTTTGCAATCGATCGTATACGATAGAGTGAGTTGAATTGAACCATGACGTGGAATTGAATAGGTTTTTTTTTTTAAAGTGAATTGAGAAGGAACAGGAAAGTGTCCTCAATCAAAATGAAGACAGTACAAGCTTGTCTTTTAGGACTGGCATTGTTCTAAAAGTATTCATGTCATCCAAGCGTGCAATCCGCGCTTAAGAAACAGCGCATACACTGCAGTCGAGTGCAGATTATGCCTACGATTGTGGACGGTGTTCCTATAGGTGAACACTACTCGATCGTTTTATTCGAGTCTCCGTTCTTCTGAAGAATGTGAGCAAATGTCGTTAACAGTCAGTAAGGGGCCAAAGGGAAAGTAAAAATGGAGGAATCGGGGAATTTCAGTGGGCAGACTTATACTAGCGGCAATTCAGAGTTATCTACTGGAGAGAAGATCACTTGTATTGGACTGAATGTGATACTGATGGTTTTGATAGTCGTGGGGAATGGCCTACTCCTGTTTGCAATAATTAAGGCCAAAGAGTTGAAGAGAAGCAGCCGCATCTTTCTGGTTTCGCTGACTGTGGCCGACCTTTTCGTCGGTCTTGTTGTCATCCCAGTGCGGGTGGTACCGCAGATCATTGGCATCTCAATCGGCAGCACCTGGTTCCTATCTGACCGGTTCTGCGAGACGTTATACTTTCTAGAAATCTTCGCCATTGGAGCTTCAGTTCTAGCAATATTGGCCCTGAGCATTGAGAGGTATCTGGCCGTGGAGATGCCGCTGAGGTTCCGCTCCATGCTGACTTCTTGTCGAGCGTTCACCGTGGTTGCTTGCTCCTGGCTCGCAAGCCTCTGCACGGCGTCCATCTTCGTCATCCTGTCGGTGGTCAACGAGGATAGATTTTTTTTAGTTTTTGACGGATCTTCGTCGCTGTGTGTCATCAAAGGCCTGAACTGGTTGACCCGTTTCATGTTTTTTAACTTCATCATTGTATTTTTACTCATACCGTTTTGCGTCACTTTTCTCGCTTCGATTCGCATTCTGCATATCGTGAAGAATCACACCGGGTTTCAGAAACAGGCTCCCAACCCGTCCGACTGCAATTCCGCGTGCAGACAGACCTCATCGGCGAGCGGAGCCAAACGGTTACCGCAGGCCCAACGGACTGGTAATGGAGTTTGCCGTGGACTCTGCAAGCGTTTCCTTGACAATAAGAAAGCCTTGGTCACCGTTCTCATTGTCACGCTTTCCTATTCAGCCTCCAGTGTACCCTTTGTCGTTTGTGTGTTGTACATGGAGTTTTCTCCCTACAGTGTTGACCAATTCCTTGTTGAACTAGCCAAGTTGTCATTGTTTACCAGCTGTTTCATCAATGTCATCGTTTACACAATACGAAACAGGGCGTTCAGGGGGTCGGCCAAGCGTCTACTTTTCCGACTGTTCCCTGTCAGATTGCGTTGTAACACTGTTAGACGGCACCCAGTCAGATCGCAAGCCGACAACCTGAGCTGAATGTCAGTGCCTTTACCCAAGATACGTACTTGTAATTCACAACAGCATTTCTTTGCATTGTACAGCCAAGAGACACTTGGGAGTAGTGAGCACTGACTTAATGATTTTCGAAACTAGGAGCTATGGAACTCAGTTGTGTGTTGGCTACACTCGCTGCATTACGAAATTTTCTGAAATTACATGTAATTTAGCCCCAAAACGTGAGCTACCGTTGGTCGAAACTCCCCATTGCGTTTGAACAAATACGTTCAGAAGGTTGTTACAGAACCCGAATATCGTGGCGTCGCTGATGTCATACCAGGATAATTCACCAGTGGAGCAGGACTATGGGCAGGGGGCAGAGAATTCAATACAGCCATGCAGTCGACCCATGACCAGGAAAGTAGTCAGAGACTTAGTATCGCTGGAGCGATTTTGGGATGGGGGGGGGGGGGGCAGACAAAGTGCCTTGCGACGATGAACAATCTGTCGGGTCCTTCATACAAGACAAATGATACTGCCAAAGGCACATCAACCGTCACATAATCAATGGCGTAGCTCGGATTTTATTTTCAGTTTCAGCCCCATAATTCCTCGCTATATCCATTTACATAAGAAATCGGCTAACAGTTTGGCTAACTGAAAAAATACAGCTTACAAAAATCCTTTCTGGTTGGGGAACGAAAAGGGGCATTATCAGGATTTTGGTGGAAGGGGGCACCTGGGGGGGGGGGGGGGGCACGGAAAATGTGTGTGTGTGGGGGGGGGGGGACTTGCCCCCAGGCCCACCGTGGCTACGCCACTGATAATAACATCAGCAGGATGTAAGGTTCTTACTGATTCCCGCAAGGCACCAACGCCATTCAGATTGGACCAGACGATGTTATACGCCCTACGCGCGGTCAGCAGAGACGGGTACCGAAGAGGCTTCTCCAGGGCAATGTAGCAGTCACAGATCAGAGTCAGGAGTGACATGAAGGACCCACCATCGAAGAGAATCCCTCCCATAAAATGGGCCTTACAGAGCCCCTCTGCAATGTCGACAGGGACCAAAACTACGGCTTCCGTGGGCAGATGGACCCGCTTGAGAACAACCATTCGCACAGGTCCGCAAAGATCAGGGACACGATCAACACGCGGCTCATCTGACGGGAACCTCGGGTGACGGAAAAACAGAAGACGTTCCTGCTCAGGATGGTGAGACAACGATTGACAGTGAGGAGATGCGGAGAACGTCAAACTATGGACAGGATGACTTGTAGTCGAGTTCGTCCGCTAACAGTTTTCCACCGAAACGCGCACTTACCCAATGTTTTGATATTCATTTGTTTTAAAAGTGCACTTTGTCAAATCAAAATAATTATTGTCAAACGTTTTTAGATTTTTTTCGATGGATTTCAATTTTCGATGCTATTTTGAACCTTAGTATGCATTAATGTGTCGTCATTACAAATAACAAAATGGAATTCTGAAAATCGTCATAATAATTATACAAAGTAAGTACATGTACATATTCGTTTTCTAGTATAGATACCTTTCGATGATGAAAATGTTTCATTGAAACAAAGCTTACTCGATGCATTATAAGATGAAATTTTGCGTCGGGACTTGAACCCACGACCTCCTGCTTTCTAGTGCAGATGTCTTACCACTCGACCACGAGCTAACGGTATCGGTTGGCCGGTTCGAATCTGATGTACAAAATACAAAATAGCGTTTCAGTGTTATGTATTAACACTAAATTTTAATTCTTTGTGCATGTTACTGGCTTGCATCGTACCCAAACAGGGAGCTTGGATGAGCTAACTCCTTAGGGATGCATGACGTAATTTCTTCGACCTCCCATTGGATAGAATTTGTTAAAACAATAACATGGGTGAACACTACCGTGTGCGCGTGACACGTGCACGCTGAATGTACCTCCATTGATGAAGGCAGTAAGCTGCCCAGACAGCTTTACAATGCCTGTGGTTTCTTCACAAAACTATGTAAATGCCCATTTCCAGCGCCCTGTTTGGGCGCTGGGTACGAGCGAAGTCACTGGCGGCAATATTGAACTCACATTATTCATTGGGAAAGATAATCTTGTTCCAAGTTCACAAGTTTCCACACGTTTTGATGATTTTTTTTAGGTGAGGTGAGCGCCCCTGTTACCTAACAAAACGGGAAGTATCCTTCCCCATTCCAGTGTTTAAATGCGTTTTCGTTGACATTCGGATATGTACGGGAAAGCTCGGGTCTTTCCGGGTGTGAAAGTGTTTTATTTCCTAAAATGAGCATATAATACAAACATAAATGAGATAGATACACTTTTCATCGTAGTCTATAAGAGAAGACTCAGATCGCCAACTCAAAAACTCGCACAGTAAAGACAACTGTCATATATTTTGACATCCCTTTGGAAGATGAATAGTTTTGTTGACACTTCTGTCTAAGCTGGGCACTTAATCACTAAAAGCTGACTGAGTCTCCTGCTAATAGGGAAGCATTTCTTTGTCAAACAGCATAAAGCAACACATCCGTGACGTTTTTTTTTATCAAGAGCTGATGTAAGGCCCGAAAAAAAAGTCTCCGGTTTCTGGTATGGAGCTTGCCCAAAAAGTGGTGCGGCGACGCGGTTTTTTTTTTTTTACCTGATTGTTTTGCTTCAAATGTCGGCTGATGACTGCAAATGGTGCCCGACTAAACTTAGTGCAAATACATGTATATGGGAGTCCAGGGAGGCCACATAAAGCTTATTCTCGACCATAACCCAATCTAAAAACACGTTAAAATTGTGCAGCAGCAGGATTCCAGTCAAACCAGTGAGTTTGGCGGTTTTGAGACATCATCTTTCATTGAAAAAAAAAAACGTTTTCATTTTGCCGACGCGCATGGCTACGGCGACGCGCGCGCATACCAGAAACCGGAGACTTTTTTTTTTTGGCCTAATGCTTCCACAATTTCTTGGGCCTTCGTGAGCATGCAATAATTGTGTGCTCGGATTTGTCTAAAATTTAATGTCGACTATATAATGATGGATGTATTGTTTATAGCCGGCCACTGTGTTTACATAATAGACCTATGTATATAGGTCTCAGCTTCGTACAGTTTACTAGCAAAATAACCATGATATTGCACCAGGCAGGGATGCTTACGAGTCTCATTATCGTTGACATTAATCTTCTACGAAGCACTAATTACTGTTTTGAGCCCGTTTTCTGTCATCGATCGTTTTAAGCATGAGCGAGTTTGATAGAACAGTGGCGTAGGGTTTTTTGATTACCTAAACGTACGAGAACGAAGAAAATGTCAAAATAAAGTTTAAAAAAAGTCATTAGGGACGCGCCTGTGAAGGAGGGACAATGATTAATCTTGTCTTTTAGGACTGGCATTATCTCTGTCTTTTAATTAGAATTGAATGGTTGACAGAACGGTAGTCGTGTACGGTTAAGCAGTAATACGTTAACAACGGCGAACTGACATAACACGCATTACATCAGCCGCTAGAAGCAGTACGTTTCATCCAAGTTTGAAAGCAGTACTAAACAACACACTTCGGTCGAGTGCAGATAAATCCAACTATTGTGTACAGTGTTCTTTTAGGTGGGCAGTACTCTATCGTAATATTCGAGTGTGAGGTTCTTTGAACGCACGTAACAGAGCGTATGTCGTTAACAGTCAGAAAGGTGCCGATGGTAAGTGAAAATGGAGGAATCGGGGAATTACAGCGGACAGACTTATTCAGAGTTATCTACTGGAGAGAAGATCACTTGTATCGTACTGTACGCTATACTGATGGTTCTGATAGTCGTAGGAAACGGGCTACTCCTGTATGTAATCATCAAGGCCAAGGAACTGAAGAGAAGCAGCCGCATTTTTCTGGTCTCGCTGACTGTGGCCGACCTCTTCGTTGGTCTTGTTGTCATCCCAGTGCGAGTCGTACCGCAGATCATTGGCATCTCAATCGGTAGCATCTGGACCGTGTCTGACCGACTGTGTGAGGCGTTAAACTTCCTTGAAGACTTCGCCATTGGAGCCTCAGTCCTGGCGGTACTAGCCCTGACCATTGAGAGGTATCTGGCCGTGGAGATGCCGCTGAGGTTCCGCTCCATGCTGACTTCTCGTCGGGCGTGCATCGTGGTTGCTTGCTCCTGGCTCATGAGCTTATGTACGGCGTCCATCCTCCTTATTCTATCGGTGGTATACGAGAGTCGATTCGTAGCATTTGACGGGCCATCGTCACTGTGTGTCATCAACAAACTAAGTGGGGTGACCCTTTTCATGTTTTTGAACTTCATCATTGTGTATTTCCTTATACCACTTTGCGTCACTTTTTTCGCCTCAATTCGCATTCTTAACATCGTGAAGAACCACACCGCGTATCAGAAGCAAGCTCCAAAAAATGTATCCCAACGGGTGTGTAATGGAGTTTGTCGTGGACTCTGCAAGTGTTTTCTGCGCAATAAGAAAGCCCTGGTCACCGTTCTCATTCTCACGCTTTCGTATTCAGTCTCCAGTATACCGTTTGTTGTTTGTGTGTTTTACATCATGTTTTCTCCTTATGCTGTTGACCAACTCCTTGTTGAACTGGCCAAGTTGTCATTGTTCAGCAGCTGTTTCATCAATGTCATCGTATACACAGGACGAAACAGGGCGTTCAGGGGGTCAGCCAAGCACCTTCTTTGCCGACTGCTCCATGTGAGATGCAACACTGTTAGACGGCACCCAGTCAGATCGCAATCCGACAACCTGAATGTCAGTGTCTCCACCCAAGATACGCACTTGTAAGACACAACAGCCTGTCCTTGCAATGTGGAGTCAGGAGATATTTTGGTGTAGTACGCTGTACTGACCAGATGATGGTCGAATCTTGCGAACATTTAAGTTGAAGCTCATTCAGTAATAGTATTTTGCTTTCATTGATGGATAATACCAGAACATGCTCAAGTAGACAATGGCACTTGGACAATCGAAGTTGGCACAATGCAACTCAGTCGTGTGTTGGTTACACTTGCTTATACGAGTATTTGTGCTGTAACATTAACACTGCCCCCAAACGCGAGCTACCGTTGATCGGAATTCCCCATCTGGTGCGAACAAATACGTTCAGAGGGTTGCTACAGGATCTGACTATCATGGCGGTACTGATGCCATACAAGGAGAATTCACCAGTGGATTAGGAGAAGACCAGGATTAAGCACGCTCACAGGGCAGAGAAGTCAACGCAACCCCGCAATTCAACAATCAGGAAAATAATCAGCGACTTAGTCTCGTTGGAGTGGTGTTGGGACGGGTGGCCAGGCGGAGTGATGCCTTCCAGGCGTGCCTTGGACGGTGAACATTATGAGTCGGATCCTACCGTGCCATTCCGATTGGTGATTCGGCAGGGTTCCAAAATACACATCGTGCATAAGCGACTATAAAAACAGTATCCAGAAGGACAAGGCGATGTTATACGCCCGACGCGCGGTCAGCAGAGACGGGTACCGAAGGGGCTTCTCCATGGCAATCTAGCAATCACAGATCAGAGTCAGGAGCCACATGAAGGATGTTACCACCAGTAATGCAACAATTGACCAATAATGTAATACCAATCAGACCCACCGTTGAAGAGACTCCCTCCCATGAAATAGGCCCTCACCGAGCCACCCCCCCCCCCGCATTGCCGGCAGGGACCAAATGTCCTAAGGCTACCGTGACCATGAGGGACCCGCTTGAGGACAATCCCTGCGCGTAGGTCTGCAATTATGAGGGACACGATGTAAATGCGGCTCACCGCAGCTCACGGGAACTGCGGATGACGGAAAACCAGAACACGATGTTCCCGCTCACGACAAAGAAGACGACGACGGACTGCAGGAAGATGTGGAGAACGTCAAGCCATGAATGGGGAGATTTTTAATCCAGCCCGTCTACGTTGCTGTTGAAAGAGACGTTACCAAGACGTGTAAGAGGATCTAGGAAACTACTCTATATGGTATTTTTACATAACATTTCTCAATCTATTTTTTTGGATTTTTATTGAAACCACTTTTAACTTCAATTTGAAAAATGTACAAATTATACTTCTCCAATGCGTGGGCTTACCGTGACGTAGTGAGTGAGCAGTAAAGGGGGTATGGGGGCTGCTTTACATGGGAGCACGATGCAATGTGGTTTCAATTCCCCCTTTATAAAAACTTAGGTCTTTGCCTTTATCAGCTGCACTATATCACAGTAAAACAGCTTCATTATAATTACAATTTGCAACTGAAAGACGCACTTCTTACAATGATTAAATATAGGTTTTCCCGGCCAATTTCCTAAAATGTTCATTCACTTCTGAAAATCGGTCATTCATTTTCGTTTGAATTTGAGAATCGCTCTGAACACGCGTTTCATTTTCGCTACCAGAGCATTCGTTTCATTTCAGTTCAATAAATTGAGTGATAGAGCAGCACATTTCGTTTATGCTCATTCAGATTCGTAAAAGACTTCCTTTTCACTTTTTAGAGAGCGATTTCAAACATTGGTCATTCTATTTCACTTTTAGTTTAATGTTATGTGATGCAATCTGCTATTTTGAATGAGAAAAACGTACTTTTGATTACACATTCACGAAGTTGTATGCCAGAACTCTACGCGAAAAAGGTATGCTTGCGTAATTGAATGCACAGGTAACGTAATTGGCCGTCTGTTTCTCAAAACCGAATGCACGGACAACGAAAACGATTGAACTTTCGTTGAATTGAAATGGGATTAAAGACGTTCATTCAAATTCAGACGAAAACGAATGACTGATTTTCAGAAGTGAATGAACATTTTAGGAAATTGGCTGGGAAAACCTGTTAACTTCCTTGTTAAATCATTTTGAAAAGGCGCCGTGACAAATCATTATAAAAATGGATAGTGCCAAAGGTCTTATGATTTTTCTGAACTAATCTCATTTTTTCCTCCAGTGCTATTTTGAGCCTTGGATATAGTTATGGTTGGCAAAATGCGCCTTCGTTACAAGTAAAAAAAAAAGTAACGGAGATCTGAAAATCCCATCTAATGTATAATCAGGGGTGATAATATTACAAAATAGGTTTGTCTTGCGTGTACAGGTTCGTTTTTCATATACCTTTCGATGACGCAGATACAAGTCTGTTGTCAACTTCTTTTGAAACTCAGCTTACTTTGTGCCTCAGTTCAAATAGCGTTAGGCCTATGTGTTTTGTTACAATACAAATGTCACTTTTTTGCACGTCACTGGTTTCGCTCGTACCAACAGGACGCTGGGAAGGTCTTATTTCTTTGGGATGCGTGACGTAATTTCTTCGAGCTCCCATTGAATAGAATTTGTTTGAACAATAACCATTTTTCCAATTCAATTTTAAATATAACCTGCCAAAATACAATAGTTATAATGTAAAAACTGTGTTTTGGAGCTTTGCACACTTCAGTACGTGCGCGTAACACGTGGGTGTGGGTAGAGCGAAGTCACTGGCGGCAATATTGAACTCGCAAAATTCATTGAGAAAGATAGTCTGGTTCCAAGTTCAAAAGTTTCCGACTTTTCTGACGATTTTTAGCTCAGGTAGGCGTCACTGTTACCTAAAAAACGGGAAGTATCCGGCCCGTTTCAAGTTTCTTTTAAATACTTTATCGTTGACACTTGGATATGCAAGGGAAAGCTCTGGTATTTCCGGGTATGAAAGTCTTTTATTTACTAAGACGGCAAAATGTCCAATATTCAGGTCTTGTGCCTTGAGCATCAGTGGGACGGGGACAGGAGGGCTTTGCTGCATCATGCTCAATGATACAATGTTTATGTCACTTGACCAACGATCAAATTGGAGACGTTATGTGTTCGTCCGGTTTATAAGGAGCCTACATACAATTGTGTCAATTGTGTTTATTTGTTATAGAAAATTGCAGAATGAGGTCTAAAAACGACGATTTTCCAAATTCAATTTTCAACCAAACTTGCCAAAATACAATTGTAATACAATGTAAAAAACTGTGTTTGGAGCTTAAGCATATAAACACTTCAATGAACACATGGGTTTTTTTTCACAAGTTTAAATATACGACTGGTTTAGATTTTTGACGTATATGTGACATGTTTCGTATATGACGAAAACCTGTAAAGTGCCATCAAGAAAACATTGTAGAAGTAAATACAAAATAATGACTTTTCGAATTGAAGTCGAATGATAGGCTAAATACACACTTTCATCACTCTTTTTTTTATCAGCTGTCTCAGAAAAAAAAACAAGCTTTAAGACCAAAAAAAAAAGTCTCCAGTTTCTGGTATGGAGCTCGCCCAAAAAGTGGTGCGGCGACGCGGCTTTTTTTTTTTTACCTGATTTTTTTGCTTCAAATGTCGGCTGATGACTGCTATGGTGCCCGACTAAACCTAGTGCAAATATATAGGAGTCCAGAGAGGCCACATAAAGCTTATTCTCGACCATAACCCAATCTAAAAACACGTTGTAATTGTGCAGCAGCAGGATTCCAGTCAAACCAGTGAGTTTGGCGGTTTTGAGACATCATCTTTCATTGGAAAAAAAACTTTTCCATTTTGCCGACGCGCATGGCTACGGCGACGCGCGCGCATACCAGAAACCGGAGACTTTTTTGGGGGGGGGGGGCCTAAGATATAACTTGACTTTCTATAAGTTAATATTTATGGCATCTAAAGCCCCTGTCACACGTTTGCGTATCCCAATTCCTTATGAGTTCCCTATCAACAATTTTCAATACGCAGCCGTACGATCAAAAACGTCGAAATGTTTTGATTACTTTGACATATGTGCGACGCACATCTAGCGAACAAGTAACGAATTCAGCGCATCCACTGCGTATGAGATGCGTATGAGTTGCGTATGCAGTGCGCAAGTTCGCCATCTGTGCGTTTCTCATAAGTTACGAATAAGTACAATGCGCTGCCCGCTCGCAGGACGAGCGGTACTAATTCGTGCAATACGTCGCCATGTATACGTCCAATATAGGAGGTCAGCGTATTGCCGCGTATGAACGGCTTATCCCTCACGAACACATAGCGTACTCGTACCGCGCTCGACCGATGCGGGACCGATGCGCTGCGTATTTATAACTTATGACCTGCGTAACAGCGTACGCAGCGTAGTTTTGTGCATGCCCAAAACGATCCATCGTACTGGGCCGTACCATGCGTATGCCTGCGTACATAAAACTTACATAAAACGATAGAGATGCATATGAGGTGCGTATTGTGCGTACGACTGCGTATGAAAAAAAGTCAATGCGCAACTCATAAGGAATTAGGATACGCAGAAGTGTGACAGGGCCCTTACATGCTTTCATACCGTGCAATACGTGTAGGTCGGCTACACGTATTGTGGGTAGAGATCTCCCGTCAGTTTCGGAAATTTATAATATGTTATATACCAAATTAAAGAAGTCCAGTGCTATTATCAATGATGAATTTCATCCGGTAAATGAGTTGTTTGATATGTTGAGATCAGGGAAGCGTTATACAGAGTAATCAGATGCAAAACAGAAAGATTCAGGAGCAGTGTGTATCCTACTGCAATCAGGGAACTGAATAGAATTAAGTAATCTTAGAGTACAATCTCTTAATCTTTTATGACTTTTGACTTTTGAAGAGTTATTTTAAAATTATATTAATCATGTGGTAGGTTAATATTGTAAATATATAAAGTTCAAAATGTATTTAAAAGGTTTTTTTTCAGGGGATCAGGGGACTGAATGGAATTAAGTAACCTTGATGTGTTATAATTGTTTTGTCTTGTTAATGACTTTTGTTTGTATTTTTGAGAGAGCTATTTTAAAGCTATAGTCCATCATTTGCAGCCATCCGAAAAGTAACTGGCGTAATTATTGTTGAAAAACAAACTTGGTTGAAAGATAGTAAGGGAACTAAACTCCCTGTGAAATTATTCCTTCTGGGAAGTTGTCATTTTGAAGTAATCAACGAAAGAAGGCATTTCCAACGGTGATTCTTAAGAAGCACCGTAGGAAAATTTAAATTAGTAGTTCGTTTTGTTATTCAGCGCAGCGCGCACAAGTATTGGAACGACGCACACGCGCGCGCGGTTGTTATAATTCGTCGGATCAGTGCGCTACGTCGCGTACAGTTGCAATTCAAAACAATTCAAAACATGATTCAGTAACTTTTGATTTGAAATTGAGATCTTAGAATGCTGTTTTTCTCGGAATGTACAGCTGAAGCTTAGCTGAAAGTTCATCAGGTTAGTTGTTCAGTATCCTTCATTAGATTTTGAACCCTTTTGATGCTTCAAGCGAACAAAATGCACAAATTACAAATGATGGACTATAGCTTTAAGGGGGAATTGGTTTAATTATGTGCTTGTTTAGTGTTTGAAACATGAAGTTTTATGTATTTTAATGTTTTTGAGCACGAAAACAACGACACTTTCTATTGTATACCATTGTATATAAATAGCAATAAACCAAGTCTAATCTAATCTAATCTAATCTAAAAAAGGCTAACCATTTCTTGGACACGTGTGAAAAAGTGGGCGCAAAAAAGTGTTTAAACTTAGCGATGTTTTTAACAACTTTCATACATAACCATTAACAAAGACATAAAAGTTGAGGAAAAATGACAGAATAAACTCACTTTTCATCATAGTCTCAGAGAGGACTCAGATCATGAACGCGAAAACTCGCACAGTAAAGACAACTTCCATATTTGAGATCACCTTGGAAGATGAATAGTTTGGTTGACATTTATGTCTAAGCCGGGCACTCAATCACTGAAAGCTCACTAGGTCCCCTGCTAAAGGGCCTCATGCACGAGTCGACCATAATAGTGAGGTAAAATGTAAATTTGTGGAAATTGCGAAGACAAATAAAAGCAAGTTAATTACTAATTAATTCCAGTCTGCTTCAACGAATAATCTAAACTTTTTAAGTAGTTTTTGTTTTGTTTAGAACAGTCCTGCTGTAAGTTCTAAAAGAACTTGTCTTTGGTCTCAACGTTTCGACTAGCCTGCTCTAGTCATCGTCAGGAGACTCCTGACGATGACTAGAGTTTGGTCTCAACGTTTCGACTAGCCTGCTCTAGTCATCGTCAGGAGACTCCTGACGATGACTAGAGCAGGCTAGTCGAAACGTTGAGACCAAAGACAAGTTCTTTTAGAACTTACAGCAGGACTGTTCTAAACAGAACAAAAACTACTTAGCAAGTTGATAATAAGCAGGACAAGTTCTTCTCAGAACTAATATCTTCCAAGCAGTAGTTATTACCACATGGTGTTACCGCAAAACCGAAACGATACCGATACCCCACCATGCAAAGCCTCAAATCTTATAATTTAAACTTTGTTATTAAACATTCTCTATATAATGTTTAAGTCAGATTAAAACAATGACAGCAAATTAAGGCTGCATTATTATGCCTGCATTAATAGTCTGGCGCCAACCTATTTAACAGTGAACAATTAATGAAATACATTCTGGGAACTCGACAAAATGCCCAACTCGTACGTAAGACCCACACGGAAGCAATTGTTTTGTCACAAATTGTATAAAGCACCACAGCCGTAACGGTTATTCTGACAAATAGCTGACATCATGCTCCCACAATTACTTGGGCTTTCGTGGGTATGCAATAATTGTGTTCTCGGATTTGTCTAAAAATTAATATAGACTATAATGGACCGATCCAGTAAGCTCCGCCCAGTGTGCACGTGGGCAAATTAACACGTGCTCCTCTCCAATGCCACGCTGCATTTTCCTTCCGCGCGCATCATACGCGCGTGAAAAGTAATGGACGGATTTTCATGAATTTTCTTTTAGGGGTGGTCCTTCGTACAAGTACAAATCGATTAGATTTTGAAAGTGATCCGGATCTGCATCTGGATGCAGGATTTTTAAAAAGGAATTTTCACCCATCATATGAAAATTTTTCACCAGACCGCTGTGTGTGAGCAGATTCATGTACCTCGCACTGACTTGGTGACCCTGTATGCCTTCACCCACCTAATCTAACCACACAGGTCAATGGACTAGACCATGTTATACAATGGGGGAGTCTGACTTCCATTTTGTATATTGCACATTTAAAATATCAACAGGATTGTTCATATTCTCAATTTATTGACAAATACCAATGTTGGATATATTCAACTCATGGGTGTACTAACAACATGGCAAGGATCAGCCTTGGCGGAGGTTTGCACCTTTCGTGCTTTCTAGTTATGGATGTATTGGTACCCGGACACTGTGTTATATTCATGTATATAGGTCTCGTCAGCTTCCGGCGCACAGCTTACTAACAATGATAATGCATCAGGCAGAGATGGCTACGAGTCTCATCAGCGTTGACATTAATCTTCCACTTAGTACTAATTACTGTTTCGAGCCCGTTTTCTGCGAACGATGTTATATACATGAACGAGTTTGATAGAACAGTGACGTAGGTTTGTTTATCTAAACGTGCAAAAACGAAGAAAGTGTCCTCAAAGAAAAAGGTCATTACGGACGCGCGTGTGGTGAAGTGAAGGAGGGACAATGATTAATCTTTGTCTTAGGACTGGCGTTATTTCTGTCTTTAAATATGACTTAAGGTTGACAGAACGGTGGTTGTGTTGGGTTAGACATTAACACTTCAACAACGGCGAACAGATAGGTTACATGTATTACATATTAGCCTCGAAAAGCGTTCCTGTCATCCCAGTTTGGAAGCCATGTTGTAGAAGCAACACCCTTATGTCGAGTGCCGATTAGGCCTACCGTTGTGGACAGTGATTTTAGGTGAACAGCATACTCGATCCTGTTATTCGAGTAGGGGAAAAGTGAAAATGGAAGAATCGGGGAATTTTAGCGAGTGGACATTTACAAGCGGCAATTCAGAATTAAACACTGGAGAGAAGATCACTTGTATAGTACTGTATGCTATACTGATGGTCCTGATTGTCGTGGGAAATTTCCTACTCCTATGTGTTACAATTAAGGCCAAGGAATTGAAGAGAAGCAGCCGCATCTTTCTCGTCTCGCTGACCGTGGCTGACCTCTTAGTTGGTCTTGTTGTCATCCCAGTGCGGGTCGTACCGCAGATCATTGGCATCTCCATCGGCAGCACCTGGTACGCGTCTGACTGGTTGTGCGAGGCGTCATACTTCTTTGAAATCTTCGCCTTTGGTGCCTCAGTTGGGGCGGTGCTGGCCCTTACTATTGAGAGGTATCTGGCCGTGGAGATGCCGCTGAGGTTCCGCTCCATGCTGACTTCTCGTCGAGCGTTCGTCGTGGTTGCTTGCTCCTGGCTCGTCAGCATTTGCACGGCGTCCATCTTCATCATCCTCTCGGTGGTCTACGAGGATCGATTCGTAGTCTTTGACGGGTATTCGTCGGTGTGTGTCATCAACAGGCTGAATTGGGTGACCCGTTCCATGTTTCTGAGCTTCATTGTTGTGTACTTCCTCATACCGTTTTGTGTCACTGTTTTCGGTTCGATTCGGATTCTGTACATCGTGAAGAATCACACCGCGTTTAAGAAGATTTCACCTAACCGATCTGACTGCGCGTGCAGACAGACCTCAGCGGCCAATAAAGTCAAAAAGGTACCTCAACGCATTTGTAATGGAGTTTGCCGTGGACTCTGCAAGTGTTTCCTTGGCAATAAGAAAGCCTTGGTCACCGTTCTCATTGTCACGCTCTCTTATTCAGCTTCAAGTGTACCCTTTGTCGTTTGTTTGGTGTACATGAAGTTTTCTCCCTATATTGTTGACCAATTCTTCATTGAACTAGCCAAGTTGTCATTGTTCACCAGCTGTTTCATCAACGTCATCGTATACACAATACGAAACAGAGTGTTCAGGGAGTCGGCCAAACGCATTTTTAAGGTACTTGTCCCCGTGAGGTGCAACGCTGTTACACGACAACCAGTCAGATCGCAATCCGACAAGCTGAACGTCACTTCCTCCACTCAAGATACGTACTTGTAATTCACAACAGCCTTTTCTTGCTTACGGAGCAAGTGCGTGACTTGACAATGATAAAAACTTGCAAACCTTTGGGCTGGGGTTCAAACTGCAATATCAATTTGTACTTCAACCATGGACAATACCAGATAATGCTCCGTATAGGCCTACATCGTTAAGACGGTTGCTATGGACCTGACAATAATGGCGGCGCTGGTGTCATAGGATAATTCACTAGTCCAGTAGTACACTAGGAGCACGCTCAGAGGCAGATAGGGGCGCCGGAACCGGGGGGGGGGGGCTGGGGGAACTACACCCCCATTTACCCAAAGTGGCCCTCTTGCGGACATAAATGTGCCCCTTGAGCATAAATATGCCCCCTCGAGATGAAAACGAACCTGCCCCAAAATTTCGGACAATTTGTTTCCAGTAACCATTTCCCAAAATGGTAAAGAGATTTTTGATATGAACGAGGAAGATGAAAACCAAGCCCCAAAACCCTTACACATGATGCGCCCTGAAAATGGGCAAATAATGCGTAGTTTGTATAATGGGCGGTTTTGAAGAGCGCCCCCTATTTTCGAAGACTGAACCAGCCCCCCCCCCCCCCCCACAACCCACCCCACCCCACTATTTGATTTTACGGAGGCCAAGTGTCCGGTGAAAAACACGTGTCGGCATTTCAGCCACGGAAGGCAAGTGCCCCTTTTCGGTGATGCCCCCCCCCCCCCCCTTTCCAAGTTTAAAAACCGTTCCGCCGCCGCTGACGGCAGAGAAGTTTCGGTGATGCCCCCCCCCCCCCCAGCCCTGCAGTTAACCGTCAGAAACTTGGTCATTGACTATAGTGGGAGCAGTGTTGGTAACGGTATAGCTAGACGGAGTGTTGTGGGCCATGCAGGCTGCCTTGCCTGTAATGTGACGGTTAACAATCCGTCAGTGTCAGTACACAGGGCAACACATTTGCAAACGTAGGACATCGGGATGTAAGGTTGTAGTTTGGAAGGACTGAATCCCGCAAGGCACCAATGTCAAGATTGGGAATTGCACACCATAGACGACCGTAACACTGAGCATCGGTATCCAAAAAGGACCAGTCGATGTTATCCACCCTACGCACGGTCAAAGGCGAGTACCAAAAGGATTTATCGCGGGCAAAGTAGCAGTAACTGATCAGAGTCAAGAGTAAGGCCAAAACAAAAAATAAGTCGGTCTCTGGTCAGCGCGCGCGTCGATTTTAAGCATGCGCGTCGGTCTTTTTTTTTTCGTAAATGTTCCGCGGTAGCTCCAACAGCGCCCTCTATTTCCGCACCTCCTCATTTTTTTTTACCAAAGAGCACAAAGGAATGGGAAATGGCACCAATGCAAATGATCGAAAGCACCAAGGCAAATTATGGAGGACACCAATGTACATGAGGACACCAAAAAAGCAAAATAGTACCCCACCTTGTCTGTACAATCCAAGCTTGAAAAAAAAGAAAAGCCGAAAAAAAAGCCGCGTGGCCGCGTCAATTCCGGAACTATGGTCTGACCAGAGACCGAATATTCTTTTTTTTGGCCTAACATGAATGAGCAACCGTTGAGGAGAATCCCGCACATAACAGGCCGTAAAGGGCCCATGTCGGCAGGCACATGAAATAGGCCGTACAGGGCCCATGTCGGCAGGCAGGGTACCAAAGGTTTCTACGGCTATCGTGGACTAAGGAGTGACCCGCTTGAGACCAACCCTGGCCCCTGCGCACAGGTCCCCAATGATCAGAGAAACAATGAAAATGCAGCTCACCTTTCGTATCTTACGGGAACTGCAGATGAAAAAGTAGATGTTACCGCGCAGGATTAAAAAGACAACGGTGGACAGTACGAAGATGCCGAGCCGAGCGTCAAACCATTGGGGTGACTTGTTGTCCAGCCTACCCACGGTGCTGTTGAAAGAGACGTTACCCGGATGCATACTACTCTATATGACATTTTGACATTTTTTTCTAACTTGTTTTCATTATTGAAAACACTTATTTCCTTCAATTTGGAAATTGTGGCTTACACATTCTACTTGTCTAATGAATTGGCTTACGTAGTGAGTGGGAAGGAGGCAAAATTGCATTGTGGTTTGGTTAAAAATAAAATACCTCCTTTCAGAATGTTTTTTGGCACAATATGACAGTAAATTAACTTTAGTATACTTAAAAACGACCAAAGCTGTGGGATCAGATAAAGTTACAGGGAAAACTTTGAAGATTTGTTTAAAGCAGCTTGCCCCGATATTTCATGACTTGTTTAATGGTTGCTTAATTGTTGCACAGTTCCTAAGATTAGGAAAACTTCAATTTTAACTTCAGTGCCAACGGTATCCAAACCAGGTTGTTTGAATGATTATCGGCCAGTCGCACTCACTTCAACTGTTATGAAATGTTTTAGCGCATTATCAAAGATATTGTTATGGAACAAACTCAACCTTACCAGGCTTATACCAGGCCAAAAGATGTAGTTGAATATGCTGTTATCACACTGTTACATAGCATTTGTGAACACTTAGATAAACCCAAGTCATACGCTAGCATTCTGGTCATAGCTTTTTTTCTCGGCATTCAATACCATGCAACCTCATATATCTAACCAACAAATTAAGACCATGGATATTAATCCTTATTTGTCATTGTGGATAAGTGACTTTCTGTCAATAAATCCTTCTCAGACATATAGTTCGTTGCAATACTGAAGCTCCACATGGCTGTGTTTTATCACCATTATTATTTACACTTTATACCAGTGATCTTAGATGTAATAATAGCTCCTGCTCCATTGTCAAGTATGCTGATGATACATCACTGACAGGATTGATTTTGAATGATGATGAGAGTGCATCGTGGATGAAGTCACTCGTTTTGTTAAGTGGTGTGATAACAATCATTTAACGCTTAAAGTTCGTAAAACCTAGGAGATAATCTTGGACTTCCGGAAAACAAAAATTAAATTTTATCCTTGAAGATCAATAATGAGGATGTAGAGACTGTCGCTGAATACAAGTATCTTGGCACTGTTATCGATAACAAATTGACTTAGAACACAAACACTCATAAAATGTGCAGCAAAGCAAACCAGTGGCTTGACTTCTTACGTACGCTCAGATCATTCAATGTCGACCGGGATATCATGTTTTTATCAAAGTGTTATTCAGTCAGTGATTGCATTTTCATGCATTGAATGGTACAGTTATTCGACTAACAGAAATCTGAACAAGCTTCAGAGAATTACTAGAACTGCAAGTAAAATAATTGGACCCAATGTTAAAAACATTATTAATGAAAAAGCTTTGCTGGCTAAACTTGAGGTGATCTATGTAGACAAGACTCATCCGTTGAACTCCCTGGTCATTTTCAGTAGATCGGTTAGAATATTGTGCCATTACTAAACATTCATAGATTCTCGTTCTTAGCTGGTGCAATCCACCTTTCTAATGAAAAGCTTTCAGTCTCAACGGATTTTGGATGGGGGAGGGGGGTTGGGTTTGGTTGTATAGTTCCTCAGTGATATGAAATTATTTTTTTTAAATCAGTCCATAAGTGCTCGCTTACAGTCACGTAACTACTTCAAGTGTGTGCTGCTTGTTTGTGTTTCTATGTTTTATTGGTCTGAATAACAAATCAAATCTTTATGGACACAGTGTAATTTTCTTTGTTAAATTGCATGTATAGGAGAGCAGATAGCATGTCCGTAATCAAGTGGTGACTGTCATGTAAATAACTTAGACGTGAATGCTCGTTTTTAAGGTCTCTCATGTTTTACTGTTTTAAATATATATTCTATGGATACTATAATACATTTTACTGATTGCACCACATAGGAGATCATATCTCATGTAATTTTTTACTTGACTAATAAAACGAATCTTGAATCTTAAGCAATTTGCCATTGAAACACGCACTCATACAATGTATTGACATGATAATCCCATTCTTTTAAAATGGCGCCGTGACTAATACTAATATTTTCTTGTCTTTCGCTTTTCAATCAATTGCAATTTTCGATGGTATTTTGAGCTTCGGAAGCTATGGTTGGCAAAATGCGCCGTCATAACAAATGTAAATAATGCAATGGAGTTCTGAATATTCAATCTCATGAATAATCTACATAATAAAATACAAAATACATATAAGTACATGTTCCTTTTCTAATACAGATACCTTTCGATAATTTTATGGTCAGGAATTTAGGAGCCACTGCTACCTTGGGTATCTACCCGTTTTATTTGCCAACACATACTTGTCAGTGTGTTAGTCATTCCTGAAACTTTGGAAATCACGCATTTCGAGGGCACACATTTACCTCTTCAATACGAGGCGAAATGTCCAACATACGGGTCTTGTGCCTCGTGTATGCACTCGGACGAGTGCAGGGTTTGCTAAGTTGTGTTCAATGTTTCAATGTTAGGGTTTCTCGATCAACGATCGAATTGAAGATGTTGTGTTCTGTGTTCGTCCAGCTAGAGAACGAGACTACATAATAATGTGCCGGTGTTTATGTATACACAAAAACAGCTATTATTTCATGTGGACTAGAAAATCATTGCGGAGTTCCTGGTTTTGATACGACACTCTGCGTTGTATGCATTTTTGCTTTTGCACATATTCAAATGTCATGCCTTATGAGCCGTTCTCTCACATTCACAAGACATAGAAATAAATTGTCATAAAAAATTGTAAATCGCAGTGCAAGTGGTGGTACGCCGTTATTCATATATCTAGCAAAAATATAGGATAAAGCCATTGGTGGTATACGGTCCTCCTCGAATTTTTGAATACGTCACTTCTTTTGATGCATTGCCGACAAATCATTGTGTGTACATAGGTCTCATCTTCCGACGTACAGCTTACGAGCAAATTAACCATGATAATGCATCAGGCAGGGATGCTTATAAGTCATATCAGCGTTCACATTAATCTTCTACTAAGTAATAATTACTGTTTTGGTACGCTCAAAATTTGAGCCTACCTTCTGCGATCGATCGTTATATGCAACAGCGAGTTTGACTGAAAAGTGACGTAGGCGTCTTTTTTTAAACAAACGGTGCAAGAACAAGAAAATGTTCCCAGTCAAAGTTAATACAAAAGCCATTATGGGACACGTGGTGAAAGAGGGACAATTTTTAATCCTTGTCTTGTGGGACTGGCATTATTTCTGCCTTTTAATAAGGGAATAACAGTGTGAGGAGCCGGTCTTCACTGCGTGATAATGACCGGGTGTGGGGGTTACCGCTGTTAATGGACCGAGACGAAGTCGAGGTCCATTAACAGCGGTCACCCCCACACCCGGTTATTATCACGCAGTGAAGACCGGATCCTCACACTGTTATTCCCATTAATAAATACCTTTATAACGAAATAAACAGTTAAAATGCTCCATTTTTGTGACTTTTTTCCGGCGATATTTCCAGACTTTTTTGTGTTCATGTTCATGGGCCATATTTTAGCTTAACACTACAGCTATAACGACGTAAACTCAACAGAGACTGCTGCCGTAGCGAAACAAATTACAACAATGTTTTCATATCTTTACCTGATGGAGGAAGCTGAAATCTCGTTTATACATTCCTTGTGTCCGGAATTACAAAGATGCTTGGTTTAGGAAAGGTAAATATGTCGGTGGGTGAAGTGTTTCAAAGAAAATAAATCGTAGATCTACGCTTTCATCGTAAACATCCTCAGTATATACTGCACTGCTGTACGATGCCGTTTCAAAACTTCATTACGCGCGCGCACGCACGCATCCCTAGCAACTGTGTTGCGTACGCGCGCGTCAGTCTCACGCGATGGGGGTTGAGCGCATGTGCAGTGCTCGATTGTTAAAAGCTACCGCAGGACTGTTACTATATTTTGACCAACCATTGGCTTGCATGGGGCTGAACGGGGCTTGATCAATGCTGGTTCAGGGGCCATTTATTCGCTTGATCTTTGAAGCCGGTCCATTATCACCGTTAATGACCGGCCACGTGATCGAGTCTCGACCAATCAGAAACCATCAACTCTCCAAGGTATTTATTAATAAGACTTCACGTTGACAGAATGGCTCCACTTGAAAATGTGTTCCAATAGTGGACAGTGTTCCTTTAGGTGAACTGTACTCGATCGTGTAATCGCGTTTGAGGTTCTCTGAACGCATGTGACTGAGCGTATGTCGTTAACAGTCAGAAAGGTGCCTGAGGAAAGTGAAAATGGAAGAATCAGGGAATTTCAGCGGGCAGATTTATACCAGTGGCAATTCAGAGTTATCTACTGGAGAGAAGAAAACTGTTATCGTACTGTACACTATACTGATGGTTCTGATAGTCGTAGGAAATGGGCTGCTCCTGTTTGTAATCATCAAGGCCAAGGAATTGAAGAGAAGCAGTCGCATTTTTCTGGTCTCGCTGACCGTGGCCGACCTCTTTGTCGGTGTTGTTGTCATCCCAGTGCGGATCGTACCGCAGATCATTGACATCTCAATTGGCAGCACCTGGACCACGCCTGACCTGTTCTGCGAGGTGTTATACTTCCTGCAAGTCTTCCTCGTTGGTGCTTCAGTCCTGGCGGTACTGGCCTTGACCATTGAGAGGTATCTGGCCGTGGAGATGCCGATGAGGTTCCGCTCCATGGTGACTTCTCGTCGGGCGTGCATCGTGGTTGCTTGCTCCTGGCTCATGAGCCTTTGCACGGCGTGTTCCCTCGTTATCCTATCGGACTTATTCGAGGGTCGAGTGGTAGTCTTTGACGGGTCGTCGTCGCTGTGTAAGCCTATCGTTGACATACCAAGTGGGGTGAACCTTTTCAGGTTTCTGTGTTTCCTCATTGTGTATTTCCTCATACCACTTTGCATCACTTTCCTCGCTTCGTTTCGCATTCTGTACATCGTGAAGAATCACACCGCGTATCAGGAGCAGGCTCCCAATTCGTCCCACCGCAACCGTGCGCACGGACACACCGCAGCGGGAAGCGGAGCCGAAACACCACCCCAACGGCCGTGCAGTGGAGCTTGCCGTGGACTCTGCAAGTGTTTCCTGCGCAATAAGAAAGCCTTGGTCACCGTTCTCATTGTCACAGTTTCTTATTCAGCCTCCAGTGTACCGTTTGTAGTTTGTATTTTTTCCTTGCTGTTTTCTCCCTACAGTGTGGACCAATTTCTCGTTGAACTAGCCAAGTTGTCATTGTTTACCAGCTGTTTCATCAATGTTATCGTATACACAAAACGAAGCAGGGCGTTCAGGGGGTCGACCAAACGACTTCTTTGCGTACTACTCCCCGTGAGATGCAACGCTGTTAGACGAGACCCAATTAGATCGCAATCCAACTACACGAGTGTCACTTCCTCCACACAAGATACATACTTGTAATTCACAACAGCCTTCCCTGTATACGGAGTGAAAAGATGCAGGGCCTACTTTGTTGTTGTAGGGCGCACTGACTCGATTATGCTTGAAATCTGCAAACATTTGGGTTTAAGCTCAAACAGCAGTAGCATTTACATTTCAATCATGGATAATACCAGAACATGCTCATGTAGACCATGACATTTGGCCTACCTACATGTATGGTAGGATCTGTGCAACTCAGTCGGTTGTGGCTACATTTTTTGTACCTGTATTTAATATTCCGAGCATTCTTGTCGTTACGAAACGACGCGAGCTACCGTGAATTCCATGAGGTGTGGATACTTTCAAAATGTCGCTACATTTGCCGCGCTGATGTCATACATTAAGAATATTCCAGTCCAGTAAAGGTCGCCTGTATGAACACTCTCAGGGGCAGAGAAGTCAAAGCAGCCCTGCGGTTGCCCATCAGGAAAGTAGTCGGCTACTCAATATCGTTGGAGATAGTGTTAGGACAGGCGGCCAGGCGGAGTGATGCGGGCCAGGCGTGCCTTGTGGTGTAACAGTGAACAATCACTCGGATCCGTCAAGGCAAACAGCAACACCACCATCACACTTGCAAACCTAAAAACAGCAGCATGTAATGTTCTATTTTAAATGGACTGATTCCCGCAAGGCACCAATGCCATTTTGATTGGTGTTGAGGCAGGATTGGCAAATACCCACCATTGACGACGGTAACACTGAGCATCGGTATCCAGAAGGACCAGGGCGATGTTATTCGCCCAATGCACGGTCAAAGGCAGGTACCGAGTGTGCTTCTCCATGACAAAGAAGCAGTCAGAGATTGTCAAGAGTAGTAACATTTTTTTTAGTAACTATTTTGAGCCTAAAAACAACTGGTTAAAAATAACCAATTGGTCACGTTAGTTTTTGTCATCATAACCAGTAATTTGGTTAGACCTATAAATAACCAATTGGTCACAATATCTTTTGTCATTATAACCAGTAATTTGGTTAGACCTATAAACATCGATTGGTCAACTGGTTACCATTTTCATGGGTTGTGACATATTAGTTACCTTGACCAACCGTTTGGTCGAAACCATAGTCAATTGATAACCAAACAATAAGTGGTTAAATAGAATTGCTTAAATTAACAATGATGTTGGTTAAAGTACACAATAGCACATGTCAATAGCACATGTGTAACCAAAGTGTGTTGGTTAAATCGTTTTCATTAAGTTTACCAAAACTTTGGTGGAATATTAACCATTAAAAATGGTTAAATGCGTCTGGTACAATTATGGCTAATTTAGCAAAAATACATTGGTTAAACCATGTTTCACGTAGCTTTCAAGTGATCAGGGCATGACTATCACCGAAGATTTATTCATTTATTTATTTATTTATTTCGTGTTATTTTACCAGGGTAGCCCCATCAGTTGTCAATGAACTGTTCTCCCTGGGGGCCCTGATAATGAATAAGTACAGATTAGCATGAAATGACTGAAGGTGTATTGTACTATACACTGTCATTATGTCGTATAACTATACATTTAATACTGCTAATAAAATTAGTATAACTGCATTGTAACGTTACGTATTAAGAGTAAATGAACGCACTTAGTATACTATTTTCGGGTTTCATCACAAAATATATTCCTTTTTAAAATGTACATGTTTTTTAGTACATGTAATCCAATTTTGTTTTTCATTTTTAATTAGTCATCGACCGAAACATCGGTCAAACATTTAGTTACTTAATTATTACTCCGTAAATTTTGAATTTCTGGCGGCCCGGCAGTGATTTCATTCTCGCAGGATCACTCTTCCCGCCCCATAATCAGTATCGATAATGACAGACCGAGAGCCACATTGCTCGTATTGGGGATCTGTTTGTGCCCAACTTAAAACTTTTTTAACAGGTTTGCAGGAAACAAGGTGGGTTTTTGGTTGAAGTAATACAAATTTAAAATCTGAATCCTATTTAAGATGAGCACGGAGAACGCAACTTTAATTAGAAGTAAATAGCGTTTGCAATTGATCAATTAACTATGGTTCGTGCTGATACCTACCTTGAAAGACATCGTTTAGGAAAGGAAAAACGAAAAGATTTTCAACGAAAATGATTTTTGTTATTTTGTGCTCACTGTAAATAGTGCAAACATTGTTTACCAGAGGGTCTTGACACTGTATAGCTACGGGTGTTTTGTTGAACGAAATCGTTGAAAATTAAAATTTTGACTTGTTTTGACTTTTGACTTTCTGACCGAATATGTATTTATGAATGGGAATAAACATGTGCTTGTTCGGCATTAAACACTATGTTTAAGACCGGTTGGAGTTTGGATGCCGATCATTATATAAAAAAAGCCGACTCCAACCAATCTAAAACAGAGTGTTGAACACCTCCCAAGTACACATATATTCCTTTGTTTTATTTAACGTACTTGGCAACATTTTAAAAAAATTATACACTATTACGCTGTTAAATTACATTGTGAATGTGTAAGCATATTGCATTTCAGTCTGAATGACTCATTGATATTGTACAATGTTGACACACTTGCTGTTAATTAGGATGATGGTGCAACAGTCATTAAAAATGTAATGAAATTGTATGGTGATTGTGGTGAAGGTGGAGGAGATCAGAGTGGTGAAAGTGCGTTGGTGATGATAACAATAGCTGTTTATTTGCATGTGTCAAAAAATAAAATTGGATTGCAGAATAGTCAAATAGTTGTTTCAAATAGTTGTTTCAAATTGTATTGCAATTAATTGGTCCATTATTACAAGTGTGACCCTGGTTGCTCACGGGGTCAATGAGGACACCAGGATTCTGCCTGACTGGCTTTTGACTGATTTATTCTCTTTATTTTATGGCGAAGAGAGACTAAACATAAGTAATGCGAATCATGGGTCATGAATAGAATACAATTTAAATATTTTCAAGTTAAAAACGTGCAAAGAATGAATAAAATACACAAACGACAAGATATTTTGTATAACTAAATGCAAGTTTCTACGCAACGATGGACCAATAAAAAAACGACTTCTAAGGTCAGCTTATTAGCGTAATGAGCACCACCCACACAACCTCTCGCATACGATTGGACCAAGGCGATCGTCTGGATCCAAATGATTTGCATAAAACAGTGGCATGAGGTCGTTGTTCCCGCTGTATTTTTAATGAACTGCATAGCGCGAGCGAGGATATGCCGCCAATCGTTCACCGCATACGGACGAATAATGACAAACGCCTTGACCAAGGCTAACGCCATCGGCGCGGCTGGTATGGGTGCACAACGGTAAATAGGCCTAAATCCGTCCGCCGAGCTCATGAATGAAAGTTATACACTCAAAATATTCTATATCAGAGAGTTCTGAGCTCCGTAATATTGGGGAATTGACCTCTGGCCCGGACTTGGGGCTTCCAATTCTGAGCATTTTGGATCCTATTGGGCTCGAAAGTGTCGCTATTTTGCCGTGTTGTGGAGAGATCGTTTTTCAAGATGGCTACTTTTCCGCTTTGTGGAAAATAGAGGTCGTCTTTGGGTGAGAATATCTCGAAAAGTCAATGGTCAACTCACTAAAATATGAAAAGAAAACGAAAGATGACATGTTGATCATCATTTTTCTGTGCAGCTTGAATACCTGTGAGAGTTCTGAGTATTTTTAAAAGAATTTTGAAGTATGGGCATTTAGCACTACTGTCTATGGGAATTTGTTTGCAGGGTTGCATCCTATACAGAATAACAAAGTTGGCCGTTACGCGCATGCGCTGTGCCGCGGCAGTGGTTTTTTAGTGGGCGGAACCCACGGGGAGAGGGGAAAAAGTGTTTTAAAGGTATCAACAAGGGTTTTTCCGTAAACGGATGCTCCCAAATCCTAAGGGAGCAGTAGGCTATCAGCCGATTTCAGCATAGTTGAGAAAAGGGGGAGGGGGATTTTGAGCTTCAAAGTAGCTGAATCTCAATTTATTGTCGTTGGGGGCGCTCTACAGCTTAGCAGGGGCAAAAAAGTTACCATTTTCGGGCCTCATATCGACCTCGGATAATGTTTTTCTTTCAATTTTCTTTCTTCAAAATATTGCCTTTGGAGATATTCTGCTTCTCCTGAAAGTGGTTTTGTGTTAAAATTTAAAAGTTGCCTGCTATTATAGGGTGCACACCGGTAAATTAGCCTAAATCCGTCCGCCGAGCTCATGAATGAAAGTTATACCCTCAAAATATTCTGTTTCAGAGAGTTCTGAGCTCCGTAATATTGGGGAATTAAAGATATATGGTAATGAACCTCTGGCCCGGACTTGGGGCTTCCAATTCTGACTACATGTACATTATGATGTCCGCCGAGCACATGAATGAAAGTTATACCCTCAAATATTCTATATCAGATGGTTCTGAGCTCCGTAATATTGTGGAATTGAAGAGATATGGTAATGAACCACTGGCCCGGACTTGGGGCATCCAATTCTGAGCATTTTGGATGCTATTGGGCTCGAAAGTGGCGCTATTTTGCCATGTTGTGCAGGGATCGTTTTTCAAGATGGCTACTTTTCCGCTTTGGGGAAAAGAGGGGTCGTCTTCTTTGGGTGAGAAAATCTCGCAAAGTCAATGCTCAACCCACCAAAAATTGAAAAGAAAACAAAAGATGACGTGTTGATCATCATTTTTCTGTGCAGCTTGACTACCTGTGAGAGTTCTGAGTATTTTTAAAGAATTTTGAAGTATGGGCATTTATCACTAGTGTCTATGGGAATTTATTTGCAGGTATCGGCCGGGTTGCGACAAATCTAACAACTTGACGATTATGTTCTCGCACCATTATTCATATATGCAAGCAGCGCAATACATATGCAGCGTATTTTTGCGGAGAGATCCAATCGCGCACCGCTATGCAAATGAGGACTCATTTATTCCATTACATGGGGAGTTCTTCTCAATACGTCATGGAAATGTTTGCAGATCTGGCGACGTTTTAACAACCAATACACTCAGCTTGGTTAATTGTGTATGGAAATA